ATATTTTGAAATGAATTCGATTGATCAAATGCAATAATGACTTAAGATATTTTGTTAATTATATTACAATTACGTATAGTAATAGTAACAATTAGTACAATTAGTTAATTTTTATATTAAATATAAGAGATATTTTCGAAAAAAAACGACAAAAATTAAATATACCTTTTACGTTAATAATTCCTTTCATCGAAGTTTTTTTTCTAAATTAATTAGATTATTCTGTTGAGTGTATTGAAGTTTTATAATAATTTCGGAATCGAGACATTTAGTAAAATATGTATAATGTTTATAATATTAAAAATTCCCAAAAGGAAAAGTTGTAATAGAAGAAAAATATCAGAAAATAGAAGAAATTTAATTAATGAAATATAAACATATAATATTTGAAATTTCCTCAAAAAAAGTTGCAATAAAAGACAATTAATCAAATTTTTTCCGGAAGAATTGTTTCAAGATTTTGCCGATAAAAGATACTATCTTACTTAATTATCATTATATATCTTATTTTATATCGTGGTTTTTCCAGTTTCAGGTGATTTTAATATAAACGTGACTTGAAATAAACAAATAACTGTCACTGCTTCAGATTTTCATAATTAATCTTAATATTCGTACATACAATTTTTTGGAAAAGTTTTAAACCGTGAAAAAACTGTGAAAATACTGATTTGCAATGCATTATATTTTTTCAATTTTTAAGAAATTAATTCCCTTGAAATTCATATTATTTTTTTTTATTATTGGATGTTACAAAAAAAAATTACAAAATACAATAAAATGTGTTGGATATTAAAATATGTGAAACTATTGATCTCACGAAATTAAAATAAAATAATTTATAATTTTTATAGATAAAGAGAGAAAGAAAAATGATGATGAAATTAATGCTAGAGAGAGAGAAAGAAAAAACAGAAATAGACTGATATAATTCAAATATTTTTCTACTACATTTATGAATTATCCGATAATTGACTTTGACATGTTTGAGGAAAATTATAGCAATATTTGCTGAATTTTTATTCTTGCGAATTATCAGTCCTTAGCTAATGATTCTACGTAATGACGCTGACGTAACTATGTAAAGTCAACCAGATAATAGGAGATCGCTTTCGAACAACACTATATATCGATTCGATGATTGTCTTCAATTTAAGTAATATGCAAAACTGAATGCAAAAGTTTCTCTCTCTCTCTCTCAGTTATAAATAAACATGATATATATTCGCACACGTGCTTTTTCAAGATAAATCGCTCGCGCAGTCTTTCATAGAATTGCAGATTGTAAAATGTATACAAAAGAGTTGGGAAATTTTAAATGGTATTTCTCGTCTGTTTGAATGAACATGTTTTTATTCTAGGAATATATAAGTACTTATTCTTACACAGAATTATTTTCTAATGTGTCGCATAAAAGACTCAAAAACACGCGTTTTTAAATAGCATGGTTACCGAGCACAAATTTACATAAGAAAAGTGTTTTACAACCATAGTCAGGGGCGGCACTAGGAATGATCCAGATAAATCCAGACCTGACAATCATAAACGGATAATGCCAAGACAACGGACAATGTCTCAAGATCAGTTAAATTTCAATGTTAAATATTTATCATGAGATGACTGATGTAGATACTGAAGAAGTGTTAAATGAATTTATAAAAAAACATAACATTAGAATGCATACATTTGCTGTGATATAAAAGATAAATTAATATATTGTGTCATTTTCTTTGAACCACGGTTATTTATTTAAACTTTTCTCGCATGAATTAAACTGATAAAAAAAATTTTTTCAAAAATCAAATCCTACCCCTCCTCCTCCCGATTGATTGTCAAGACCTGGAGCGAAACTGTAGTGCCGCTCCTGACCATAGTATACAACTACGATATTTTGTCATAATAAATAAAATGAAACGAGTACACAATTTTGAAGAGAACATTGGACGAGAGCAGGTTTAAAAAAAAAAAGGGAAGCGGACACGTAGTAGGTTTGGATAATTTATGCGTGGGCTAAAAGAGAACTGGTCGATTAAAACGACAGTGTCGTCCGATGTCAATCGACTTAAGCAGGTTCGACGAGCGAGAGTACAGACTTCAAAATTTATTCCTAGAAATACTTGCGGGAATTAAGGCGAATGAATCCAACGCGTGACGAGCGTTTCGACCGATTCTTCGCCGATTGTTCGTCTTCTATCTTATTTGCTCTCCCCAGGAGAGCACGCTAATCTTGGAGCGTGATAAGAGAAACAAGTCGAGTGTAATCAGTCGTAAAAAAGTTTTGTAACATCAAACAAGAGGAACCGAAAGACAGAAAGAGAAAGAAAGAGAAAAAAAGGAGGAGTCGCGTTTGTTTTGCGGGTCTCGAAGTAATTGCTAATTCTTAATAATTGCTAACATAACATATGAAAGTTAACATAAGACAAGGTATACACACGTGGTATAGCAATAAAATGGTCACATATAAAAACACTTTTATTCGCGGAGCGTTAACGGTTCTCGAGGTTTCGAGAATTTCGCGAATCAATAATTATGCTTCATTCAAAAAAAGTCAAAAGTCGCGGCTTTAGACGTTTAGATATTATATCAATTATCTACTATTCAATTAAATAAATCAGAATTAAAAAATCAATTAAATAAATCAGAATTAAAAAATTTTAAAAAGAAATAAAATACTAAAACGAATGATTCTTAAAATTGTGAGATTTTTCAGGGAATTAATTTTCTATATAATTATGACACATATATATTATAGGGTGTGCCATAAAAATATGTAATTAACAAAATTCATCTCTTAGAATAAATGATTACGTTATCTTCTGTATGTGATAAAATATGACTCACTGTATTAAATTGGGAAAATAAACATTGCGATGTGTTCTTTGTCAATTTGTTTAAATAGAAACTTTTAATTTTCCTCGTAATTCTTTGCTAACGTTGTTAGCTTTATTATAGATAATGTGAGAAATATTTTTCGAAAAGTTTCCGTCTAACAAAATCGATTGCATTTATGAACATTTATTTGAAATGGATTAGATAAAGTGAGATGAATTTTCGCTTAACAATCAGTCCTTTCAATTGAAACAAATTGCAACAATCTTTAAATAGCAATCATGTAATTAAATAATTTCTGCAAACAATAATTGTCACAAATGTTATCAGAACTATTTATCTAATTTTAATTCAGACTCTTTATCTAAATTAAAAATTAATTTTTTTCTTGAAATATATACGATAAAAATTATATTTTAATATAATTATTATATATATTTAGTAAAAAAGATTACAACAAATTTTTACACGTTTATCTCTTTAAACATATATCTTATTAAAGTAGATTAAAATTATGTTATAATTATGTTTATACTAAAAAAAAAGATGTGCAGATAATAACGATGATATTGATAATGCATGACGTAAAATACATATATTTATTAGCGTGAAAACGTTAAGCGGGAAGAATCATCGCGAACCCGAGATGCTTTATTAGTTATATCATCGTTGATACGATTTCCAATCGTGTGGAAAATTACTATATCGAGACCGTCCAGTGACCTTTAATGTTTTCCTTTCACGGAAATTTGCCACTTGTGAATATATATGAATTACATGCATGAGCACTCCTTGGACATCTCTATTAATTATCAAAAATTAATAGTCAATTACACACTGATAACACGATGACTTCGTCGTTAACATAGTCGAGCTTCTTACATCGACTTCGATTAGATGCGACGTATAATTTATGATTTATTGATATAGACAGATTATATTATCAGGCTTCTCTCTGTGTACTTTGCTCTTGTGTACGTACAATACGTGCCCGAGCATAATTCTTGATAATTGTCAACACTGAAAGAAACAACGACATTTATATAGCCGTGTATACACGTTACACCCGATTACGATCTAATGACTCATCCGTTTCATTGATTATCGCGCGTTAAGCTCACCTGCTGTGTGCCTGACAAAAGTTTCCAGATTTGCGAAACATACGTGTGAATTTTGTCGATTCACCAGCCTGGAATTCAAACTGGTGTCATGACTTGACTATAAATGAAAATAAATATCGTATATGAATAGTGGACTTTTTTATCTAATAAAAATTACAAAATGACGTCGATCTCTTTTTCAAAATTGAAAACTAATATTGATTTGGATAAATCTGAATGTGACTCAAAATGGAAAAATTAGCTTTAATAATATTCTAAGAAAAGGGAGGAAAATCGCTTATATCTTTACAAATAAATTATTTAAAATACATCCAAGTGACTAAGGCGCGATGTCTTTTCATGATGTTTACGATTTATTAACGACGCTCTTCCGTTGATAGTTTGCCGCTTTCAATTGACTCGAGTCATATCTCTTGTGTAACCCTCACCTCGGCATTGGTTCCGTCACTCGTCCTTCGGTTATTTCCGTGAAAATTTGGCAGAGTATCTGCTAATACGCGATGGCAGGACACGTTCCGGCAAATATCTTAAGTGCGCCAATTAACGATGTCATAGTTATTTTTCATTCGATTTTATCGCAGTCATATTTAGGAGATACAAGAAAGGCACGTGTACTTTAAAATGACTAAAATGAAATAACGTTATATACTCAGGATAATACAAAGTTCGTTATTCAAATCTAATGACAAGTTTCCAGATCAATCCGGAATCAATATTTCTTAATTGATTTCAAATTAGGATTGTGCTGAAAATTTTAACTTTTCAAAGTTTTTTTCCGATGCTCAATTGCGTACATATTTTAAACAAAGATATCTGAAAATTGCAATAGAAATATATAATAAGAGTTTTTGAAAATAAATTCTATAGAAGAAAAATTGCGTGACTTTAAATTGATAATTAAAATTAAAGATTTAATTACAAATGTTTTTAGAAATATATAAAGGAATATATAAAGGAATATCAGGAGAGAGAAATTTATTATACGATATTTCATAATTAATATTGCATTTGTGGAACAATAATTTATGTTTTCTTTTTTTTTTTTTTCAGGTTTGATGGGAAAACGTCACATAGTGACATTCATGATATTCCTTGGTATGGCAAATGCCTACATAATGAGAACCAACATGTCCGTGGCTATCGTCGCGATGGTCAATCATACAGCCAACCAGGATAGTAGCGAGAAAGTAAAGGAAGCCATAAATGAGTGCGGAAATCTCATCACTAATGAAACCAAAGCTAGCCAACTAGTAAGTACATAAAGTTGTGTAATTCTTTCTCTACCCAGAGAAATGTGTGAGAGTTTAGAGAAAGAAAGGAACTGGAGAATATTCTAAGCCTAATAGACTTTTGTCCTTGTAGAACGCCGATGGACCCTTTTTGTGGAATAATAAAGAGCAAGGCTATCTCTTGAGCTCATTCTTCTGGGGCTATGTTATTACGCAGATACCATTCGGTATACTTGCCAAGCGTTATGGCGCCAAATACTTCCTTGGGGTTGGCATGCTGATCAATTCGGTTTTCGGGTTGCTGGTCCCCGCGTCCGCACACTGGGGATATTGGTGGTTGATGACCATTCGCTTTATCCAAGGTTTAGGAGAGGTAAGTAATGTTTCGACAATCCTTTTACCGTTCTATATCACGATAGTTTGATTGAGACTCAAGAAGAGAGAGCGAAGATGAGAATGTGTGATGTTTCGGGATCGGTTATCTATTGTTTGCACACATACATTTTGCTATTTGCAAATCGAAGTCTCACTCATTTCCTTGTAAGTATATAGTTCTAAATTTATTGAGAAATTTGATAAAAAAGAATATACATTCACATTACAAGGGCCCTTGTGTCCTTATTTTAGCTCTTCTTCTACATTGAAAGATTTTAATGATTAATAAAAAAAAATAAGAGAGTCTCTCTGTTTATTTGCAGAGATAGAGATATCTATTAGCGTGTAATGTTAGTTTTAAGCTTATAAAGGATTACTGATCCGTTTGAGTGTGAACGTTTTTTGATTGTACGGGTGTATTTCCTTTCCCCCCATAGGAATGGATTAATCCCTATTGCAGGGTCCTATTGTGCCTTGCACGCACGCACTGCTGGCGAAGTGGATACCGCCTAACGAACGGAGCAGGATGGGTGCCTTCGTCTATGCTGGTAAGCTCGTTCAATGTGATCTTTTATGTAGCGATTTATCGAACGCGTACCAAGTTGAGAGCTAATCCGCCGCGCGAGTGTGTCTTCCTCTCTGGAGCAAGTTCGATGCATCAGGTTGCTACTGTGTTGTGTGTACGCGCGCTTCTTGCTGCGATGGAACTTGTGGACCAGATTTTTTTCGATTTTTCGAGTTATCTTTTTTTTTTTTTAGCAACTTTTCTCCCATTCTATCTTGCTCACAAGGTTTTCTTTCATTGGTAAAAAAGAAAGAGATAGTCTGAAGAGAAAGTAAGATTCAGGCCTCTGATAACCATCACTAATCATATTTCTTTTGTATTCTTGTCTTTTTTACGACATATAGGTGCACAGTTTGGTACAGTAATTTCCATGCCGTTGAGTGGTCTATTGGCTGACTGGCAATTAGTAGGCGGTTGGCCATCAATTTTCTATGTATTCGGTGCTATCGGTACCATCTGGTGCATTGCGTTTCTTTTATGGGTCTATGAGGATCCTGAGAAACATCCATCCATCTCGGAAGACGAAAAGAAATATATACTCAGTTCTCTTTGGGGTAGCGCCGGCATATCTGTAAGTTTCCGCCGATTTCTTCGTCTTTTTGTGATATTGCAACCGCTCGAATAAATTATCTTTAAGTTATGTAAGTTATGTAAGTTAACGTTTTTTTCTCTAGTCTTCGCCTGCCGTGCCATGGAAGTCCATTGCAACTTCACTTCCATTCTGGGCTATTTTGATGGCACACATGGGTCAAAATTACGGATATGAAACGCTGATGACCCAACTGCCGACGTTTATGAAGCAGATTCTTCATTTCAGCATTAAAAGTGTAAGTAAATGTTTTCGGTAAGCGAGAAAAAAAGGTAATTTTAAAAAATTAAAAAAACAATTTAAAAATAAAAAAAGATAATTTTTTAATTTTTCAAATGAAATTTATATTTATATTTTGTATTTCAGAATGGTGCTTTTTCTGCACTTCCATACCTCGCTATGTGGCTCTTCTCTATGTTTATTTCACATGTCGCCGATTGGATGATCTCCTCAGGAAAATCCTCTCATACAGTGACGCGTAAGATCATCAATAGTATCGGTCAATATGCGCCGGCCGTGGCACTGATTGCTGCCTCATACACCGGCTGCAATCCCTCGATGACCATAGCCATCATCACAATAGGAGTCGGTCTGAATGGCGCTATTTATTCCGGCTTTAAAGTTAATCATCTCGATATCTCCCCAAGATTTGCCGGACTTTTAATGTCCTTTACTAATTGTATTGCTAATCTCGCTGGGCTTCTCGCGCCAATCACTGTTGGAGAAATCATCGATGATTCGGTAATTAAAATGATCCTTTTAAAAAATCGCTAAGTGATTGAATAATTAGAATTGATCAAACAATAATTTACATGTTTTATTTTGCAGCCAACGCAAGCAAAATGGAGGATTGTATTCATGATTTGTGCTGGTATTTACATAATATGCGCAACATTCTATGTAGTTTTCGGTTCTGGACAGAGGCAAGCATGGGATAATCCAGATAAAGATGAAAGAAGTGAAAAAAGGCAGCTAGATGGGGTGCAAGTCGTTGAAACTCAACATTGACAAGTAAATATTTTATCGATAAGATACTGTGGATATGAAAGAAAATCACTATTGATGTGTCCATCTGGCCGTTTTTGCCTGCGTACATTCATTCCCTCCCTAATATTTAACAATTCAAAACGATTGTACATTAAGATAAAATATTTAAGTTAATTTCAAAATTATTCTTTCTTTTTTACTATAAAAAGATATAAAATTTTTCACAATAGGGATTATCACAATCATATTGTAGATTTTCATACTTTTGTACGCGATTGCAAAAGTTATATATCAATTGTTGTAGTGTTGTAGAATGTATGTTTCATGTGAAGGACGATTTATATGCGTGTGAGAATGAGAGAAAGAGAGAGAGAGAGAGATATATATTATATATATATATACTCACAACTAAGCTATTATAAGCTTAATTCATTTGTCATTTAATACATTTTATGATTTATTATTTTTTACATAATTTCGGGGATTATGTAGAAAAAGTCGCACTTTAAGGTTTGGCATATTAAAGGAAGAACAGTAGAAAAAAAATAATTCTTAAAAAAATAAGAAAGAAAGTGGAAACTATTGCTTGTAGATACGCGAACTTTCATATACTTACCTGAAAGGAAATATCATGACAAGAGCATCAACACAGATATGTTGCAAAAATTCATAAGAAATTATTTCTTTAAATTAATTTACTATGAAATTATATACATGGATGTTTAAGTCGAATTCAATATTGCTTTAATTATGTAAGTGAAAGCGAAAGAAACATTAAGCTCTGACAGCATGACATCAAATTTGTTTGCAATATATTTAGTAATACTTTAGTAATACTTTAGTAATACTGTAATATTATGATAGAACACTGAAATTCACATTTCATATTTTAAAACACAAATTTTGATTTGCATAGTAAACATTTTGTTAATTTATCAGACATCTCTTTGTTAGCTTCACGTTTCAAACAAAATTTATCAATCTTCGTCTTCCATTCTGTAATAATAACGCACACTTTAATATTATAAAGCGCATTGAAATTTGCATATGAAATAAATTTAAATAAATTTATTACAAATCATGCAAAAGAAAAATCTATCGTAGTATTTCTCTTTTGTTACGCTTATCTTCAAGTTAAATAGTTTGTAATCTGACAAACTTGTGGTAGCAGTATTAGAGCGAAGATCCCCCTTTATTGTTCATCCGTTTTTGTTACATCATTACTTTTTATTACAATTACAGCCATTTTGTATTGTGCGTGTGGCCTGAATGAAAAAAGTATGAAAGGAAAGTTCCCATCTTCGTCTGGGAGATTCTCGAATCTAGTTGCGCTGCGATCAGCACAGTATGTCTATAATATAATAATGGTTATACATATTGTAGATATTTGCGCATTGTGCGCATAAGTCTTATATATATATGCATAAGATATAAATATTAGATGAGTTATAATATAGTGTAGATATTTATATAGCGTTTATGAAAGACGGAAAAAAGATCATTAATCATTTCTCGATTATCAAGAAATAGATGTTAAACAAAATGATTCTGCTTGTACAGTGGAATGCATTTTTTTGTGTATAATCGATAAGTCTCTCTTTTTTCTATAATCAACTTTGACGATGATTGTAAATTTCGTCTTGTACAATTTTGGATATATCGAAGATATATTTGTTGTAATTGGCATTATTGTTGATGACTTGTCGATGAAATACGTAATCGCGCAAAACGAATTCCTTTAAGCTTAACAAACTTTGTTCTATATTCTATAAGTTTTTAAGTTTTGTGAGAAAAAGAATAAGAAAAATGCTCTTACACATTATATTCGAAATTCTGAAATTGATTTACCTCAAAATTAAAAACATTAAAGCATATTTATGTTAGAAACATTTATCTTGCGACGTTATTTTATATAAACTTTACGTAAAAGCGTTGGAAATAAATTTAAATAGCAATGCATGTTAGTTGCAAATAGAGGGAATAGTAATCTAATGTAAGTAGCCTCTGTGATTGTTATATTTAAAAAGTGCCTTCAACAATTGCGTTTTCTTTTTCATGCATAATGTATTATTAATTAAGAGACTTTTCGGACAGAAAATATATCAAAATACTTGTGAAAATTATTCAAATATGTTATGCGTATGAAAATCTTTATGTAAGAGCTTGAACAATTGTAAATTACTTTATTATATTTTCGACATGGCGATAAATAATTCATTATAATTGTAAATCAATTCGAAGAAATAGATACATCAGAAGATGCATACAATGATAAAAAGTTACCTAACATAATAAAATCATTCAATACACAAAATTTTGCAAATCTATATTTTTATACAAATATTTATACATAATGTACATAATATGCGATCTTCTAGCGATGTTACAACATTAAAAATATTTTTATTGTTGGGATTGTAAGAAAATATATATATATATGTGATAATAGAACTGCAAGAGTAAATAAAGTAACGTCTAAGATACAGCCGTAATAAACTGCTGTTTTGGCTATTTATATATTATTTTGAAATATTTTTATTAAATCCTACACTCTCTCTTTTCTTAATCGCTACTGTTTTTGTAACAAAATTTTGTATCTTTGTACAAGCAAATGTGTATGTTAATAATACGCCAATTTGCATATGTATAATACATATTACAGTATAAATATATATATATACATATGAGTGCATATGGAGCTATTAAATATGAAAATAGAAAAGGATAATTCTAATAATCGATAAATTATATCAGTATTAATAAGATAAAATTTCTGAAAATGCTTGTACAATTTCAGAAATGGATGGTCTGAAAAGAGAAAAGATGTCGCAGGTACTTTTACATATGAATTTCACATATATAAATAATATTTTTTCATCCTATCGTTTGGAATAATTGTTCATTATTTAATTATCTAATTTTTATCTTTTTAATGCTGAAAATGATTGATATTCTAATATGTATTCTGATAATTATTTAATCATCTAATTTTTATCCCTTTAATTCTGATATGTATTCTGAGTTCTATTTTTTTTTTCAAATAAATTATTCGTAGAAATTTGCGAATTAGTATATTACATGTTACCTATCACAATACATACTGTTATGTACGAGATATAAAAGCAAAAATAAACATTAAATCAATGCTCGTTTGGAAAAAATTTTTTTAATATTAAGCGCTCAAAATCGTATCTCGGATGATACTTTTTATTTTGACTTTCATACGAATGCGTTCAGAAATTTTATTCGTGGAGTAACATTGAATTGACCAATCAGGATTAAGAATGTTTGCTCTTTTTGATTGGTCAATTAAACACTGTTTATCTTACGGTAGGATTTCCGAACGCCTCCTAATATGTGTCATCAGCTGTTAGATTATGGTCAGATATGATAATTTATAATATTGCGCGATATATGTACATTTCTTGTAATATCCAGAGTGGACATAGAATTTAGGTTAGTGAAATTTATAAATGTAAGTATTTAAAATTTTTCCATCTTATAGAACTTTGTACACTCGTAAACAATTCTCTCTCCTATACTGTTTTAGGTTAAGTATAGATTTGATAAAGGATCTATCTCTTTCTTTACTTATTATAAAAATTTGTTCAATTTTTTTAGAATTTTATTTTGATTATACATACTCCTATGAAAAACCTATTATGACATGTAATTATATACGTCATTTCGATAAATCTTTTTTTATAATGCTAACATATAACTAAGTTGACAAGTTGATTTTTTTATATCTTTTACATCTTTAGCTTAATATCATTTTTAAGATCCTTGTGTTTTCGAAATTAATATTTATTTGAACCATAATGTAGAAGTAGACTCCATATAAAAACATTTATTGTATCACATACTAGAGAAAAAAATATATTTAACTTAATGTTTCATTATTTTGATATTAGGAATTTTCTATGATTAATTTTTATTTCACTTTTATTTGAAATGAATTATTTATTATTAGGTTTTAGACAGTACGTTTATTACATTAAATGCCATAAAATAATATTTTATCGCTTAAACTTCCTTATTTTTAAGATGTATAATTATTGCAGGTCATTCATTGGAATGTAAATGATGTTGTCGATTCAAACATTGGTCTATCTCATCGTGCTTGTCACGGTGGCAAGATGCAGTGACATAACACCTGCCGTGTTCGGTAACGTATTGGATGGTATGCCGGCAGCGTTTGGCGACTTCAATTCTGATGAACTGACAGATGTGTTTATGTTGCGCGGGAAACCGGGGGATAGTCCTAGGACGGTAGAAATATTCTTGGCGGCTGATCAGGAACCATTGTTACGGCCTGCGCCACATTTGAATTGTTCTTTCAAGAATAATGTGACCAGCGTAGTGCCAGGCGACTTTGATGGTGACGTCTTCATGGATATCCTAGTGACTACCTTTAATCGCACGGATAAGCTCACTTATGTACACATACTCTGGGGCGGGAACGGCCATCTGAACTGTAGCAACGAATCGTTACCTCTTATAAAGATGCGCGACCAACCGTTGGCATTGGATTACAATCAAGATATGATAATTGATCTTTTCGGAGTGGATCAAAATAACAATAGGACATTCTGGATATTCAACGAGGATAGAACTCCTCCGACACCCCTTAAGATGGAATCGAAAGATAAATTGAAGTTTGAGTCGGTGAGAATTCCGCATTCCAACGCTTTTCTAGATCTAAATAATGACTTTCTGTCGGATCTCGTGGTAACCACGAAAAAGTCCTTCGAAATATGGTTTGGTACCGAGATAGGAGGATTTGAATTCTCTCACTACATCCATCTTCCATACAATGCCTTGATCGATCAAAACAAAACAGAGTTTGGCCAGACTCTCTATCTAGACATTGAGCTAACCGGCAAAATGGCTCTCCTTCTGCCATTGTGCTTCAACGAGGAATGCACCAATTGCACGATAATGATGTATCAGAACTCAAGCTGGCATAATCTGGAAGTAAACTTCCGCGATCTTAACAATGTGATGTGGGGTTTCGTGAAGCCGAATGGTCACCGTTACACAGAGACCATTACTCTTCGCGGCGGTGACTTTAACATGGATGGCTATCCGGATTTGTTGGCTACTCTGCAATCTTCCTCCGGAAAACAGTCATTCTTGCTGCAAAACGTGGCGTGCAAGACTTGCACCGGTTTCAATCGCACCTTCGAGGTCAAGTGGCAGGCGCTGAATCCATTCTACAATGAGACCGCGATGGCAGTATTTTACGACTTTTATCAAGATGGTATCCTAGATGTGATACTGGTGGAGTATGATAAGACGAGCAATTCCTATCGCACTGCGGCGTTCAAGAATAGTTTGGATTACGATGCGAATTTTGTTAAGGTGATGGTACTCACCGGACGCACCAACAGCATGTATCCAATTTCACCGGGCTCGCTTGGCAAGAAAAAACGAACCTACGGCACCAATTTGCCGGGACCATCAATTGCATACAGAACTACTACTCAGGACGGTAGTCCTCGTAATGCGATTGCAGCGCAGTTACCACAAAGCGCACATTTCTCGCTTAATTTGCCATACACCACCTTCGGTTTAGGAAGAACGCCTAATTTTGTAGATGCTCTTACGATAGGGGTACGTGAGAAAACGAAAAAGTAGCTTGATTCTTAAGGCTATATAATTATATAAGTGTAAATTTTGAAGTTAAATCGAGTTTAACTAGATTTCTTATTTTCTATCTTATAAGTAAAAAAAATTATATTTAATATTATATATTTGATTACTAATTTAACTATGCAATTAAGTTTTTTTAGTAGAAAAATCTCGAGTAATGTTATAACATTTGAAAAAAATTGTTTCTAGGTTGGTGGTAAATCACGAGAATGGCCGCAAATCATACCCAATTCCCAAATGGTTGTGATACCAAATCCCATCGCCGAGCCGTCGAGATGGAAGGCTCAACTGTTCGTTACACCTAGCAAGTTGATCTTGCTAAGCGCTGCCGCATTAACCGGCACATGCGGTTTGATCACAGCCATTATTCTCGGTTTGTATTGGAAGGAGAGGCGAGAGGATAAAATAGAGAAACTGCAGGAAGCGCACAGGTTCCACTTCGATGCGATGTAAACGAGTTGATACATGTGAAGAGGTAAAGAAGGTGAATCGATAATTAAGACTTATTTAAGATATTGATTTATTGATATAATAATAATTTAATAAATAAACCGCGCTTATAATATATCCTCGATCTCGCGTAAATCTTTATACTCATCTTTTCATGACTGACAGCAAATCATGCATCGTGTCTTTCCTTTCCGTAGAATTTTCACTTTCAATACGAAGATGTTGCTGTCAGATAATTAACGATTTTTATCGATTCTTCCGTGTCATTTTATAAAACAATGATGGTAGACACGCATCGGTGTTTACCTCTTCTCGCGCGGCAATCACTTCATCTCGAGCATATATAATATATATGTATATGTATTAACAAACGATCTTTGCCAGTGTGTCTTTTTCGCCTTCATTTTTTGGTCGCTGCGCATCATATACGCATGCTAATGTTTTCGATCGATCTAAATTAAGAGGGATGATTCGCTATTGGCATCGGTCATTCTTTATGGCAGGGTTCAAGTCGTTGAAGTATGGATGCGCCATCGCTTCCTCCGCCGACAATCGTAGAGCCGGATTACACACTAATAATCTCTATACATTCAAAACAATCAAAAATTAATATATATGATATCGATCAATCTTGATATAAAAGAATATAATTTCACAAAACCGTTTTTTACAATTTTGCTTGGTTTATATTTGTTATAAACATATATATATGTATATATGCTTGTAGTAAATAAATCAAGGAAAATGATTTTGCGAAATTAAAATGTTATGTATAAGAGTTTTTTATTTTTGAAATTTTTATTTGAATGACATTTTAATTTTTTTTTTCTAAATCAAAATTTGATCTGATATATTGAAACTTTATCTCACATATATATATATATATATATATATATATATATATATATAATAATATAACTAAACACTATCTTTAATTATTTATGATCGAAATATTATGATCGAATTTATACTTTGATAATATTTTAAATCATTTGCATTCTAGTCTCATTATAGTTTTTTATTTCATATTGCTTCTCGCTCGATTAAATTGTTTGTTATAGATTTATTAAAATTAATTGTTAGATAGTGATGGAAAATTTTATCATGTATGTAATTAGATATTATTCTAATATTTTCTATATTAAATAGAACTGCATTTGTATATTACACATTTCTGCTGTTTCAATAATAAATATAAACAATGCGATTTACCTGGAGTAAGTCTTTGCCTCTTGAAGTGAGCTTGGGTGTAACCTGTGACAGTCCTTGTGTGGGATGGTATTGTGGGAAAGGCTTATAATCGGGAAGTGTTGTTAAATCTGGCCAGGTTTCCTCGGTCGGTGTGCCCAACATTTTGAATATTCTTTTCAATTGGTCATCCACATCCGATCCAGGAAAGAGTGGTCTACCGGCATTCGCCAATTCTAGAATATATCGCACCAAAATATTTGATTTTATAATATATAGCTAAATGTGTTATTAAGAAAATTAGGAATATGTATTAAAGATATAGAGGAATGTGTTATTAAGAAAATTAGAACTATGTATTGAAGTTTTAATTAATTATTCCATTTTTTTAGATAAAAATATAAGCGTTTTTTATATCATATATAAATTGAAAAGGAGTTTTATCAAAGATTGATTTGAAATTTTTAGAGAGAGAGAAACCATCGGATGATTACCGGCAAATATACATCCCGCGCTCCACATGTCAATGGACGTTGTATATAATTTTGCTCCGAAAAGAACATCCGGGGGACGGTACCATAATGTAACAACTTCCGCTGAGTAACATTTTACAGGAATACCAAAAGCCCTTGCTAATCCGAAATCGGCAAGCTTCAACTCCCCGTTCTATAAACAAATTCTCTTGTGATTCAGTATTCATTTTTAAATAATAAATTAGATGAATATAATCTTATGTGAAGTAATAAATTGTTTTTTACAAAAATATGTACATACAAGATTAAATATAATTACATACCTTATTGATGAGTAAGTTCTGTGGTTTGAGATCTCTGTGCAAAACATTCCGGCTATGACAGAATGCTAATCCTCTTAGTAACTGATATCTGAAGGCAAATAGATTAATGACAATTTTGCTGATAATGGAATAAATGGATTTTTTAAACAAATTAAAGCATCTTACAGGAATGATTTAACGACATCCAAGTCAATCTCTCCATTTAGACTGTCAAAGTACTTTTTGAGATCCTGGTCGCAGTGCTCAAACACCAAGGTGAGCTTCTTGTCGCTGTGCAACACGTCATAGAGGCGAACTATATTCTTATGCTTGAGTTCCTTCAGTAGACAGATCTCCCGTAGAGCCGACGACGGTACACCCTTGAGCAACGTAAAGAGCACACGAGCGATAAGACACACTAATATCAAGGAGAACTTTGCCTTCGGCCTTCGTCGAAGGGAATTATTTTCGACGCGGCGCCAAGAGAGCGCGTCGCTTTATTATATAAATAAAACACGAGCGATCGATTAATTAAATTAATCGGAACGCCGGTGTCGCGGCAAACAGTGGGGAACGAAGGGGTGAGATTACGTGTAAAGAGAGAAGAAAAAAAAATATATACATATACATAATATGTTATATATATATATATAAACGAGGTATAAAATATCGGCACAAGCACCACCTACTTCATCGTCATCGTCCAGTCTCACCCGCTTGAGCGCGACGATTTCGTGTGTCTCGCGATTCTTGGCTTTGAACACGGTGCCATAAGTGCCTGGAAAGAAGAAAGAGCGAGAGGTCGTATGTACGGGAGGCGAGGCGTCGTGTGTTGACAGCACGCAACACGGCGATGAGAGGGGAGGGGGGGAGGCGGAGGAGGAGGAGGACCCCACCGGGCGGCCGCGCGACGCACACGGGGCACGACGACGACGACGCCGCGTCGCGTCGCGACGACGCCCGATGACGCGCACCGCACCGTCGCCCCACGGGACCACAACACGGCTCACCTTCTCCTATTTTCTCGAGCTTCTCATACTTTTGCATATTTTTGCTGATACCACGGGCGGAACGCGCACGCACGCACGCACAGTCGCGCACAGTGTTTTTCGCACCACTGCGCGCGCCCGACGAACACTCTGACGCGCAATCATGCCGCCAACCTTACGTCTTGTCCCGAGACAGGCGTTACCAACGCTTGCGAAATTTTTACCCATCGAGTACGACCATGGAGCTTGCGATAGTGGAGACGTCTTGTCGAGGGAGGAAGATCAACGGAGAAGCGGATAGGATATAAATTTTGCGTCCATAGATTTATTAAATATAGAGAGCTTTTTATCCCGTCTAGAGATCCCTGCGTTCGAGATAATTAGAGATAAATAGTAAATTTTTTCCTCCCTTGCGCACGCGCATTCGTATGTTTTTCTTGACGGACGCGCGATCGCCCGAGGGAGGAAATTGTGCCTTCTTCATCACATTTATTTTGACACTCAGTAAGATATATATATATATAAAGCTCTGTCTATATTTAATATAATTATGATTTTACTTCGGCTATAGACGTAGGAAATTTTATTCTTGTAATTTTTATTATTTACTTTATTTCTTTAAAAGTAAATTTATTTTATTACAAGTTTTATTGAAAGTAAATTTTATTTTTTTAGAAATTTTATTAATTTTATTATAAGTTTTATTTTCTACGTCTACAATTTTAAATATTTGAAGGCCTTCTACTCCAAATTTATATCATTAAATATTTCGAGATAACAATTAATTGTCACGCATTTAGCTATTATTTTTTAGAGATGTCGATACCGAAAATAAATTAATTTAGAAACTAATAAATTTAGAAATTAATTTAGAAATTATTCTTGTTAATATTGAATCAATAGTCAATATATTGAATAATTATTATTTCTTATATAAACTACAATAATCTTTATTATGATTCTTTATCTTTCTCCTTCCACAAGAGGGAAAAAAATAATCTTTGAACTCTGAACTAGTGCAGCCAGTTAAATAGATAGACGGATCTTTAAAAACATTCATAATTACATAATGCATATGCGTAAAGAAAATTGACCCAAATTTACTATTACGTTACATATTTATTACAATTATATTAAACGCATCTCTCTAATCCATTATGATTAGACAATTTTTTTTTATGTATGTGCATTATGCAAGTTTATTTGTATCTGTTTTAAACTTATCGATCAATCTTCAGAAATATTCATTTTTATGATTGTTTCAATTATTCAAAAGTATTCATTCGATATTTTGTTCATATTTTTTCAATTCGATATTTTTATATCGAAGTGAAAAAATATTGAATATTTGATAAATATCGATAAGTATCTCTAATTGTTTTCCTCGACATATCATTATTACGGTGTTCTGTCATTCAAGATGTATCTTCTCGTTCGAATCGCATCACTTGAATGACAGAACAACATAATAATGATATGTCGAGGAAAACAATTAGAGATACTTATCGATATTTGATATTATAGTAGGGCAAGACACTCGAAACATCATCGAATTTTTTTCCAAAACTTAATCGCGACAAGTATTAGGAAATAATTTGATACAATCGTTATATTTAATAGTTAGTCAACTTTCGATAAACAACATATAGCTATTGCATTGATAAATCTATCGAAGCGTATTTCTTGTGTATTTCTTATTCATTCATTATTTCAAATACGAATAGAAGCGAGAAGAATTTTATTTATTAACGAAAAAGTTTTAAATTATTACATCGTTGCGATCTTTATCAATAATAACTATAACAATGCTTAGAATCAAATACACATTTCGACTTCATTTTGAATTTTTCACCTAAATTTAATTGCCCAGATTGAGATTGCGCAGTAAATCGCTAAGTCGAGTGATTAATGTAACAAAAAGCTTTGTATAATATATTAATTGTTTAATAATTAATATATGTATAATTTAAATATATTAATATATAATTATTTTATATTATTTTATATTATATATTATATAATATATTATATAATATAATATATAATATAAAATATATATTTCGTGCACACATATTTTAGTACATAAAGTATTTCGGCAAAACGAATTAACTCGTGTTCGGCCTTGACACACATAGCATCCTATGTTTATATGACACGACCTGTTATCATTCGTTCGTCGATAGTAAAGCACTCGAGAGCACTAAAATACGGATACATAACATTAAATATATTTCGATATTATAAATGTAATTTGTTATTTGGACTTGGATTGTTTTACTAATTTAAATGTAATTTGTTATTTGGACTAAAAAGGCGCAATAAAACAGGAATCATAGGATCGAATAATAACTAAAAATCTTGATGATAAATGGTTATAATTATTAATTAACAATTTTAACGATTAATTTATAATTATCAATTACCAATTAATTGCTAAACTTTCAATAAACGATAAACCGCGATGACGATTTTCATCACATACTTAGTGCGATTTATTTATTCGAAGTAAGGATTTATTATTTTAAATAGAAATTACAAGTTATAAATTAATAAATATTTTGTTACAATCTTTAATATATTTTATCTGATATTCACACAAAATTTTTCACAGATCTAAATATAATTTCAGATTGAAACTCTATAATAAAATAAATAAATATATTTATAATTATATAATTTAGAAAAAATAAATTTATTATAATTATTAATTATTAATTTTTGTATTTATTAATATTAATTATATATATTCAATTTCTCGCTATAATTCGTTTTTTATTATCTTCACTCAACTTCAGTTGAGTCTGGAATTTTTGGCAGATCATTATATGAGAAAAAGAAAATTTCTGAGCCGTTATTTCTTGGTGTTATTTGATCATACGATCTTAATAGTTAAATTTTTGCTTAAAATTATTTAATTGTAACAACGATAATTATGTATCTGATATATCGCTTTTTTACCAGTGTAATTTTTGCAATAATAAATGCGACTATCATGTTGTATATGTGTCAACGAGTAAGTTGCAATCATTTTTATACTTCAAAACTATAAAATTTTTGAAATAAGAGGATATTTTATATTCTTTTTATTGAGATAAAAACTGAGATCTAGATTTATATCAAAATAAATTTAAATTGTATATTTTAATAGTAATGGATAAATTTATTTAATAAATATACTTAATATTTACAATAATGCTTGGTAATATAAAAAGTATATATAATAATAAAAGTATATATAATAAATATTCGTAACATTTTTCAGTTTTATCGAGTGATGAGAGCACATTATCAAATTATGGCTGAAGCTGAGAAATTCAATTCGATCGTAATATATATTCTACCAAAGCAAATGATACATTAATTTCTCCTTAATTTAAATTAAGATTAAAAACGTATATTTCAAGTAATATTGAAATAACGTTAATAAATAATTTTATCAATCAATAATGTTAATAAATAATTTTATCATAGGTTTCTGAATCACGCAAGAGTCTCGATTATATCAGCTTGAAAATATCTCAAGGAATGGATCAGGTATTTTAAATTAAATTATCTCTACAATTGAAAGAATAGTACGACACAGTAATATTTGATAAAATTGCTTGTGCAGATGAAGGAGGACATCGCCAGAGAATTATCTATTACCGATCATTTAACGAAGCTTGGTTCGAAAATAGGATTGCTGCTGCAACGTTATTTGGAGTTGGAGGAAGGATTGATCGAGGTATAAACAATAAACACAGAGAAAAACATTTAAGTTTTCTTTTCACTTTGAGAAATAAAAAAACCTTTCCTAATAATGTATAAACTTTAAATAAACTTTAAGTTATAAACTTTAAGTTGTAAACTTTAAACTAATCTAAAATTTTAAACTCTCAATAATTATAAAATATTGTAAAACGTACACACACATTCCGGAAAATATTACAAAATTATTTGATTAAACTATATATTATATATAAATAAATTAAATTAAAATTAAAATTAAAATTAAAACATTTCCTTTTACAAATTTTCTGTTCTTTTAAAAATTTTATTAATTATATTTTAGCTAAGTATTATATACTATATATACTACCGTTATTTTTAAATCAGAATTATCATGAAAAGTAAGGAATAAAATTTAATTTCAGAATCCATTTTCTCCTCAGCTATTTACGTAAAGAGGTCATATATTTAAATAACCCACAATCTATGTTATAACTTAATTAACGATTCCGTGTCTCTTTGTCAGTTGGTGCGAATGAATCACAACACTAAGAATGCACGAATCGAGACACCAGCTGATATCAACGAGGAAGTCAAGAATATCCTTGCAGCAACAAGGAAGAAACAATCTCAACAACAGCAATCCGATCATTCGCGAACGTCAAGGAAATTGCGGATCTCGACAAATACTTCTATAGGATTAAAGGAACCACATAATCCAATCACGAGTTCAAAGTTTCTCACGTCGCAGTCGTACGATATTACCGATCTTTCGAACGTAACGATGTCTGAGAAACAGGAAAGGCCACGTACGCCCATTTATCCGGAAGTGCAATTGTTGAACGATTCGAGACCAACAGAAACTTATACAAAACCCATTGGCTTCCGGCCGTCCTGGAAATGCGAAACTTAAAGTCGCTAGGTAAATTTGTTTTGTATTCTCTTAGTTTCTTTTCCCGGTGGTTGTCTGCGATTTAAAAACAATAAACGCACAAAAAATTATATAAAATAAAATATAAATAAAAAAAGTAAATAATGTAATCTATTCGAAAAGTCTTAGTTTTAATTCTTTTTAAAATCTCGGAATTATATATATATGTGTGTGTATATATGTATACACGAATATGTGATATGAGAGAAATAATGACGATTGAAGACGACATAAAAAGATTGTAAACGTCATAGTTTTACGAAATTATTTTTTATTAAAAAAAGTTACCTAATATTGAAAAATATAGACTATGTTGTATCACATAGAAAATAACTGCATAAAACTATGGATTTTATTTTATTTTTTCTTCCAGATGAAAATAAGCTGTTAGAAAAGTAGTATTTCTTTTGAGACCTTATATACATATTTAATTTTAGCAATCTTTTTATATTGTCTTCAATCAACCAGTTAATTATCTTTCTTTATTTATTTAGTTTTCTTTATTTAGATAGCACATTTTTACAGAGTGACAGTATACGAGTAGAGAGGACAAACCGCATAATACATTTTATATGATCTTTAATCGATCAAATTTCGTCAAAGTGACGGTTTTAAATTGTTTTAATTTAGAATTAATCACGAAGAAACATGCTTTGCACATAAAGATTGCGTGAGTATTTTTTTATGCCATCGAGACTTTCTCAAATTTATTCTCTCCAAAAAGTATCATATTCCATTACTTTTACATCTCTTAAACTCTTAGAATCTGAGTATTTATTTTTGCGCAATATAATTCCACAATCCATACATTGATTTAAGAATTAGTATATACAATTAATTACACAGTAACAATATATACACGCCGTACATATCAGAATGTAAATTAGTTATATTTTGCGACACAGCGTGTTTCAAAGAGTCGTCGAAGATTACAATAGCAGGAGTATATGTAAGAGCTTCTTTGGAATAAAAATCCGAGTATATTAACAATTATTTCGCAATCAACAAATGGCGATTAATTTTTTCGATTAATTTTAAAAATTTATTCAGTAAAATCTGTTATAGATTTAATCAAATAAAATAAGCCTTTTATATATTTTTCTATTTTTCATTTGGTCCATATATTTTATTTATAACTGACAGAATATGCATTAGTTTCCAAACTAATGCATATTCTGTCAGTTATACATTTTATGACAAATATAAACTTGATTTATATTTAACAAAATTTTTGTAATAGGCCTTCAATTATCGCAAACATTAAAATTTTTTGCTATTAGAAATATCTTAAGGACATACTGTATAGTATTCAAAAAAATATATTTTTTATAAAAGTTTAAAATTAATCAAAACACATAAAAGGCTTATTTATTTATTTTTAGAATTTGCAAAAATTTTATAATTTTTTAAATATTTCAATAAGTTATTTCAATAACTATAAATACTTTTCAATGAAATAATCGCCATTTTTCTGCTAATTTAATTTCTGGAATTTGTGATTGAAAATACATCCAGTAATTCTAAACAAAGAAACTAAAAATTATATTATATAACGATCTTTCAGCTGGATATCCATGATTAGAAGAATATTCAATGATGTCACGAGAAAAACAATCTCACGAATAATTATATTTCACATCGATTAAATTCGTTCTTAAACATACAACCATTAAAAGGCAGCAGAAGAAATAATTTTAATTTGCAAAGTTGAGTTAATTTTGTCGAAATTTCACGTGTTGAAATTAAATGAATTCTCTGAAAAATGCGGAGCGAACGTGCGCGATTCGCGTGTCAGCAATGTCTCTCGCGCTTTTCCTTACCCTTTGCCCTTTCCTCGCGCCCTTTCATCCCGCTATTCTCCCCTCTCGTCTCTTGTATCCCGCGCCAATTAACGTCGCTGCCTGTCCGCAAGGTAATTATTGAGCCTCTTGACGAATCCGTTCCAACCGACTCGATCGATCTCGTCGATGTTTCGTTTGAAGAAGCTATCGAACGCGGTATCGATCTCGTCGATATTCCTCTTGGGGAAACGATCGAACACCGATCGGTCGATCTCGTCGAAATTACCTGGCCGTATGTTCATCGTGCCGAGTCGCCTGCAATAATGTTATATAACAGCATGTATATATTTGTGAGATGTAATTTGTTTATTTAACATTTTGCTTTTTAATTGAATGTAATATGAGAAACAGAAATGGATAAATTTTTTTTATTTTTTAAGAAAGCGATAGAATTTCAAAGAGATATATATATTAAAAAATACAATTTAAATGGAATTTTATCGGAACACATTTCTTAAATCAGAAAAATAGCTTAAGAAAAATCATAGCATTCTATATTTCTTTCAAGATTTATTTAATAAAAATTATTATTTATAAAATAGCGCGTACAAGTAATCTTGCAATGAATGCGGCAAGTAGTTATGATCGGAAATATTCAGACGAGGAGTTATTGCTGGAATTGATCAGACATGATGAAGGAAATATCGACTCTTGTAGTCAGACGCGAGAACCGAGATATAATCGCTATTGACGTACAATTCTTTTTTTTTATTCTTTCAGCGAGATCAAATAAACGTAATTGAATACCTTGTAATGGTATTCTGATATCCGGAACTTGTGAAATTGGCGGCATTAAACGAAAGAGCGGTAAATAGTACAAAAAATTTTATCGGAATGTTATCCGAAATAGCGATAATTCGAAAATTGGAAAAAGAAGAAACTTTTACAAATGTATGGCAATAGAGAAACTTTTACAATTAGAATATTTTGGAAGCTAAAAATGTTATTTAATAAAAAAAGTCTTTGTAAAACAGGATATCTTTTTTTAAGTTTTTCTTTTTTATCATTGAATAAAACTTTTGTTGTCGCGAAAAAGATTATAATTACACGCATTTCCTGGTCTTCTATTTTTTTTTTGCTAGATCAGGTAATGTAATCGAATATTTATAGCGATACCCATCGCCTGTGAGAACTTGAGCGAAAAGGCAATGATCAAGTTTACATTTGTGGTACAGAGGCGATCGAAAAAAGCGAATTTAATAAGAAAAGTGAACTCTTGCACGTGACCCCTCAATAAATGACACGTGAAACTTTTGCCATCGGAACATGTAAAAAAATATGTAGAAAGGTGACGAGAGATCGGGGAAGAATAAAACGTGACGAGCTCTACGTATATAAGTCAAACAACTGGCAATGTAATGGTTTTTTTTATTTCGTCGAGAATAATCTCGATCGAGTAAGGAGAAATCACATTGCAGTTTCCTTGAAAACAAATTGGGAATAAAAATAATATATATACGCGTAAAAATAAAAAAAATTGAAAAAGATATCTTTATTCAATAAAGTGCATTCAAAAACACAAACTCAAAAGTGCATTCTACATAGAAAAAAATCATGTCTCTTTGAAAGAGAAATAAAATGTTTTTTTAAATGCTCAACACATTTATATGCTAAAGTTAATAAAAATGCGCAAATTATATAAATCGAGTACCTGTTAATTCGCGACTCTAATTTACAAGTTTGAATTATAAATAATTTATAAGTTTAATTTATAAGTTTAATTCTGTGAAATAGCTTTTCTGTTTAATTTATCGCGCAAATTATAATTAAATCTGCATTATATTCCGCTTAAATAGTTTTCTTTCGAGAAACCGTTTTACCTGTTTGATTTTCCATATTTGTTCTTTTGGCAATCTTTGGAACTAATTTCCAGTTATTCCGATTGTGCCTTGAGAAATATTAATGTAGACAAACGTACGCGGAAAAAATTTATTAATTTTGGTTATAATTTTGATTAAAAATAAATTAATACATACAAGTAATTTCTGTAAAGAAACTTATATATATAATCCTTTAACGTATTTTCTATAAAAAAACATATATTATAAATTTATATATATAATCAAGAAATAATGTCTTTTCATTTGATTAATTATTTTATAAATCCTGAAATCTTTTACAATCTAATGTTTAATAAAGTACGAGACAGATTAAAAATTTATTTAATGAAAGCCTGTCGCTTTTAGATGAGTTCGCATTTTATCATCAGATATAATATGTGAATCAATAATAAACTTTACCTGAGAGGTGCGTATCTCTTGTTTTCACCAAAGGTTGTCCCAGATAGCGAATCCAACCCTCGACGTATTTGTCGCAGTGGATGGCCATTTAAATTGCGACTGCCTGCATCTTGAACATTTTAAAAACCTGTACTAGGTTTACGTTGACTTTAATGAAAGACTGGATAAAATATTATAGAAAAGACACGAATATCAAACAATTGGAAAAAGTATACATCTAGCTATACATATGTAGATAAAATGTTTATTATTCTTTCTGCTGTATATTTGATAAAATAGAAAAAATATAAAAGAAATAATATTAATATTTGAATGCATTTCTGTAAAATAATCAGTTAGTCATTCAAGAGTTGTTATGACGAGGTAATATACTTGTTACGCATTTGTGAATCAAATATGCCTATGCAAATATGCTTGAAATCAAAAGGTTTTTAAAAGCAACATACAATTAATATTTTGAAAGAAAAATATTCTCTCTTAAAATAATATAAATTTAAACTTTGCATATTTTTTAATAATATATTATAGAATATTTATTTTTTAATTCAATATTTTATATATAAAAATAATTTTAAAATCTGCAATTCTAATATATATAAAATTGGACATATCTTGTTTCTATAAAATATGTATGTATGTATGTGTGTAAAAAGAGAAAAAAAGAAATGTGATAAAAAATGTAATGGGAAAAATAATTTTATTATAATGAAAATAAAAAAAGATTAAGTAAAAAAATTTGAAAATTGAATTGTGCAATTAAATTCGTTTTACATTTTTCATACGCACTCTCCTCTTTTGGACTTTATTTCTTATCTATTATTATTTTATAATTTGTTTAATTTTTTAATTATATCAAAATTGCATTTCTTTTATATGCATGTTTATTAAATATAATTGATTGATATCAATTTCTTACATAAAATATACATAATTCTTGAATAATTATATTAAAAAAAATAAAAGTAATAAAGGATAAATATAGTCATCTTTCGATCATTTTTAAGCGTACAAATAAATTCTTTTTCTTCATCTTATGTAGATTTTTTGGATTTAATCCAATCAAGCAAAATCACTCCTAGCTTCTCACAAGATTTTCACTATCGATTTACTCCATGTTTCTCAAGAGATTGTCGTTCTTAATTCGTTCCAAATTCCGCGCTAATTGTAGCTTTCTCAAGACAACCGCAGGCTGATCAGCGCTTCGCTTTGTTTCTGCATTCGAGTAATCGACATTTCTAAGCACATGCCCACCGCCGATTTGATCTAGATTCCTTACAAGATGCCCACCGCCGATTTGATCTAAATTTCTCACGAGATGTCCACCGCCGATTTGATCTAGATTCCTTACGAGATGTCCACCGCCAATCTGATCAAGATTTCTCACGAGATGTCCACCGCCAATCTGGTCCAGGTTTCTCACGAGATGTCCGCCACCGATTTGATCGAGATTTCTCACAAGATGTCCACCGCCGATCTGGTCCAAATTTCTCACGAGATGTCCACCACCGATCTGATCCAAATTTCTTACGAGATGCCCGCCGCCAATCTGATCCAAATTTCTCACAAGATGCTCGTTATTAATCTGATCTAGATTTTTCTTTCCATCGTCCTCTCTTGCGTTGTTCGAAACATCGCGATTGATAAGCTGATCCGTGAGTAATTCATCACGATACCGATCAATAGAAATTTCTCCTTGGCCGATTGCGTCAAGTATTTGTTCATCATTGGCGAAATCTGAATGTTGAGTTAAGCGATCCGTTAGTTCACCTAGTAAACGTCTGCGTTGATCATCAATATCTCTCACAAGATATCCATCGCCGATCTGATTCGCATTTTGTTTCATTTCTTGATTCATTCCTGTAATAATAAAACAATAAAATTAATATTGTTTTTCATCGAATATTAAAACCAATATTTATTTTGGTGAATGCAATTTTTAATGTTAAAATCTTCATTACAATGTTAATTACATCGCACTTTTCAATACTATAGATGCATTATACTAAATAATTTATTATACTTAAATATAAAGGAAAAATAATAAAAAGAGAAAATATCTCTTTTTAAATTTCATATTAAAATGCGAATTCATCAAAATATCAGGTTTCAATCTTTGTTTTCCATTTATTCGCAATATCAATTTACGATTATAATTCATGAAATTATACCATGCATTATTAATTGGTGAAAAGCTACGTATTTATTGAAAATTAAAAATATTATTTAAATATGACAAGTACATGCAAAATTATCATATTGATTAATATAATCATTTGACAGTTAACAATCAATCTCTTTCAATATTTGTTAGAAAAAAAACACATCAATTTCTTCGATTTTCTTCGATATGCTATGCTATTCTATTTTATAATGCATGCGCATGAGTTATGCATGCCATTAAAATCATCGAAGAACCGTATGGAGAGTGAACTTTATCGTGCAGCAGGGGTTTGAGTGAAAGTTACGACGAAGACGTGAGTGCAAAAGCATGCAAGGCAAACGTTGTCGTGGCATGCGCGAAGGCAAGTGATTTTAACGGATTTTCATGCTTAAATTGCTATTACACGCTTACCTTCCATCGACATCGGCTCGTCGATGATCTTATCGATTCGCGTCGTCATTTCACACGTGACAATTATTTGCGCGTCTGACACTTACACGCGAATTTTTTTCCCCGTCGCATAAATTACGTGGACAAATTGATTGACCATAAATCTCCCAAGTGTATCAATGCTCAAGATCTAGTATGAACTTTTCGTCCGATTGTTCTTGAATAGCAAGACACGCTGCGTTTTACATAAATAATTAATTGGCACAATCTAGTATAAAAATATAATGATAAATGCGGTGATTTACTTGATAAAGAACAGTTACCAGAGGGTCGAAAAGGTCGAAATGACAATGTGAATAAATGATGTGGACTTTGCGCAAGTTAGGAACATACGGCCGGCGACCGTATCAATGTTTCATATTTCTCGTTTGTATACTAAATATTAATATGATTCTCTGATAGAAGGAGAGAGATTTTATCATTATTTAGTTAACGTATATTCTCTCAGGTGAGTAAGGATATTTGCGTTGTAATGATTTTACAGAAAATTAAAATCTTAAAATCTGTGCATGAATCGATATCTTACATATTTAATTCTCTCGGTATTTATTTTTGATCTATTATTTAGAAAATGTTTGTATGTATATAAATTACTTTCTTCCACTTAGGTTTTTTGCCATTTTTTTGCAAGAGAGTGCGTTCAGAAATTAATGGTAGATTAATAGTAAAGTTGTATATAATTATTTTATTAAAATATTCATACATGTTGCCCGTTCATGTATTTTTTAAATTGATTAAAGTTTAATACTAATTGAATTTATATGAGCAATCAATTTAATTATTGTTTCCCATGTTTTATTCCAAGTAAATGTAAACAGGATAATTTTATATTTGAATTGTAACGCGTTTTATAATCGAATCATAAAATGCAATCAGAGAGATGCATTATGATAATCGCGTCAATAAAACTGCATTTCACTTTCTATCTATGAAAAAGCGTGCCATGAGTTCAAACATGCTTCAATATTTATTTAATCTTAATAACTCGATTTCACGATAAGACAATGATTGGTTGATATAATGTAACCGTTGATGTAATGTAATGCACTCTATCATCGAGTTCTATCATATGTAATGTATTCGAGCATATAATAAATAAAACTGCGTTATCCATGAGTAACATAACTCGTAGAAGAAATTTTAATTTAACAGCATTTAATCTTAGAAATGTGTTAAAAGGAAATTTATCATATGTACGTATCATTTCCTTTCAGCCCTTTATTTCTCTTTGCGCTTTAAAAAGCTTCAACTTTTAACAAAATTTATTCTTCATTTCTCTTTTTCTCGAAAAATATTATACAGAAGAGATAGAAATATGCACTTTCCAAGTAGATTTGTATATTTTCTCTATAATTATATATATCTACGAAACAAAACATCCGACGTTTAGTAAAATGAAAAAATTCCTTTTCTTCTTCCGAAAATTTTTTCTCTTCTAATGTTTTCCTTCAGTTATGTAGAACTTTTTGTCGATATTAATGTACAATGCTTTTCTTGATATTACTTAATATTAATTTTAATTCATTTCATAATTTTGTGAGATCAAGCTATTTCAGGCGATGCACTGACATAATCGGTCGACACTCTTATAATTAATTGCAATGTGTGATAATGAATATAACAACGGTTCATGTGGGTAATTAAATATATCTTGATGTATAATTCCGTTCATAGACCGGATAACATAAAAGTGATACATCAAAGGGCAAAGGATCACTGTTTACGTATAGCCTCGGCGTGATATCGATCACGAACCGTTTTTCTCCCTGGGATAATATATAATTCACTATAATTAGTCGATGCGTACACTCAGTATGTGTTTAAAATGAAAATAAAAATTAATAATAGTAACGAATAACTTAATGCGTCAGTCGTGTGCACTTATAAAAAGTTTACAGCAATGTTTCTCCCTGAAAGTAGGATCATCTATGTTTTTCGCGTCTACTGATGTCGCGTGATAACGCAACGAATTTTAGACAGAATTTATTTATATATTTATTATATATTAAAAGAAGAAAAAGAAAATGAGGAGATGTATCTGATTTATCTGTATAATGCAAAAATTATTTTATGATACATTTAAAATAAATATTTGCAAATCTTTATCTTTTTCTTTATATATTTTAGTTCAATATTGTCATCGATTTTACTTAAATTTAATCTTTCAGTGAAAAGAATAAAAGAAATTATTATCTATGTATATATTAAAGACAAACATGAAGCGCGAAACAAAAAAGAAAAAAATAAAAGACTATAACTGTGTAAACAATAATTAAAATTTAATAATAAATAATTAAGAGAAATATAATTAATAATAAATAATTGTAATAAATAATTAAAATTTAATAATAATTAAAATATAATTAAAAAATATAAAATTTAAAGATAAAATAATTGAAAACATTATTCGTATTATTCGTAATAATAAATTATTAAATTTACATTTTTTACTTTGAGTAAAAGATATGTATTGTATTTTAATAACTGCAATATTTCAAAAAGCTAGAATTTTGATATTTTAAACAATGAAATTTGCACGATATGTTTTTCTATTTTCAGATATTTTCTCTCCTCTCTTCCTAATGAGAGAGTTAATTGTTCTTTTCTTTTTTTGAATAATAATACTCACTGCGATCTTCCCAGTATCTTGCCAGCAGATCCGCCAACGGCGGTGATCCGTATTCGTCCCGTTGCAGCGTGTTCGATATACCCTGTAATCAGAAAAGGAACAAAACTTTTTAATTATAGCCACGAGCAACTTGTTTTTATTGTTAATTCAACTGTGTTGTTTAAAAATTACATTTTACATTATTATAATAACATTACATTCATTACATATAAAAAGAGTAATAACAAACAGCAACATTACACAATTTAACTTTATTATTGATATTAAAAAGTCGGGAAATCAAACAGATAGAAATCATTTGGGGAAGAAATTTCACATCAATTTAATTTTAATTTCACAAGAAAAATATAAAAATTTCAACTTTTTCAGAGACCAAAAAAAGTAAAAATTTAATACATATATAAACATAATATTAACAAAAATAAAATTTTGATAAAATTTTATATCAGTAATGGATGTAATAGATATATGTAATAGATATTATTATATTAATAGATATATGTAATAGATATTCTCTTTTTATGATCATTTTAATAACATTGGTATCACTATAATTATATGTATATAAAATTGTATATTTAAAATTATAAATAATTTTTGATATAATCCTATGCATTTTTTAAAATATATTTATTCATCTTGTGACGTACAGAAATCATTTTAGTTACAAATATATCGCAAAGTATATCTTATCGTGATATATATTCAAATGTCGCGAATTTTACTAGTCGCCTTTTTAACACTAATTTGGTGTATTTAAATCTGGATCAAAAGCATAGGATTCTATTTATCCGCAGCAAAAGCACAATTATTTATTTCATTACCTATATTTTAGTATATTTATTCAACATCGATAGGATCAAAGGAACGTTGCGATATGTTGTTCAAAGAAAAAATAAAATTAGCTCGCATGCGTGCATAATAAAGCTCACGTGAAGAATTACCGACCACGTGCTAAGTCCATTCTTGACGTAACGACGGCACATGTTCGTCGCCTTTTTCGCGATAGCTTATCGAGCAGCTTACAATAGTGTTGTAATGAGGACTGCATTATGCTAATTACAATTTCGTTCGTCGCTTCGGCACTCGGTCTTATTTCCCCGCGGATCGAATCTTTCTCGCGATAGACATATTATTATAAATTTCCAGCATAGCTGTCTTCTAGCTTTTTTAAATTAAAAATGCATTATGACAATCCTGTGCATTCGACGAATGCTACCTATCTAGTTATCACATTATATTTTAAACGTTTCTTCACAATAAGCAGTTATCGATAACGTTTCTCTTTCACATTTTTCATCTCTTTTCATGAATTTATTTAATCTCACTTTATTCTTAAATGAAGTTTAAATTGAATTTTATTACTGCGGATAGAAAAGCAATCTATTCATAAAATATCTGGAAGAAGAAAGAAATCTTTTTCTGTCAAAAATCATATGTTAATTAATTATATAGGTTTTGCAGATACCTTTTACTTAGAATATTTTTTAAATTAATTTTAATATTGATACTTAATATTGATTGTTCTTTGCAAAACTCCAAGTAATAATTAATCCTTTAGGTCGACCCTGAATGCATTCTGTTATATTTGCAGATCGATATGTTACTGCTATGGCTTGTCATTTACTTGTTAAGCACTTCGCATGATCAATTACGAATGTTAAGGTCGACGGTTTCGTATCGAACGTTTCATCTTGTCGATGAATAGCCTGCTTTTCTATTTTGATTAACAAGTTTTCCATTTTCCGAATTTATCGATTATTCGCGACATCAATAAAACATTCAAAATTGAAAGCCACGCATTGACGTACACATTCTCTCTCTCTCTATTTTTTTTTAAATATGTGACATGTTTTATCAATATTCAATTGAATTTGATAAAAAAGCTTTTCGTACTCGCCTACTTCAACACCTTCCGGAGCAGCTGCATATCGGGAAAGGATGGAAAATGAAGTTTCATGTGCTTCAAGCGCGTCGAAGGATAGAAAATTTTACGGATTTAATTTTCCTCTTAAAATCTCGAATACCGCCGATGGCGTGGTTTCGATCGTACCCTCGATAGAATCGCGTTTCTCATCACGCACCATTATTTACAGCGCGAAATACGTACATAGTAATCACTGAGTTGCAGTTCATAGTTGACCAGGTTAATGAAGTTTCGACCCATTTTAAATAAATAACGAAGGGAGTAATCGACGTAATTAAATGCGAAGTAATTAAATGCTTTCCAGGACAGCACGATGCACTGCCAATCTTATTTACGACGATGAAGCAAAAATCGCGAAAGTTTTCGTGCAGAATGTTAACGAAAATTTAAATTTTTCAAGGAAAAGTCTACGTCTACTAAGTATACAGGAAGCAAACTGCATCTGCAAACTTTATGAAAGATATGATATCGTCATTATATATTAATAATGGAATATTAGATTATATACCTTCGAGGAAATCTTCCGGAAATTATGTAAATCTAGGGAAAGAGGCTGTGTGTGCGTATAGAAAGCATACAAAAAGAGAGATGTTTGGAGAGACGTTTGCGAGACGAGCTCAGCAACCACCTTTCAGTTGGTTAAAGTTTGAAAGTATATGTTACGACCAAAAGATTGCAACTACAAATTTCATGCAATATATAATATCATCATATATAATATAAATTGCAATATATAGATTGTTATAAATATATAAAATATTTATAACAAATATATTGTTTTGAAAAAAAATCTCTCAGAAACTATATAAATCTAAAAAGAAAGATATATGCATAGAAAGATATACATAGATACATAATTATTAATATTAATTATTTTAGTTATTAAAAATTAAGTAAATTAATATGATATATATATTCCTTATTTCTCAAAAAATTTAACTTAATTTTTTTTAAGTTTCTTATACTTTTCTTAATTTAATAAATTATGAAAATTCATAGTTTTTTGTATAATAAATCTATTTATAATATATACAAAAACAAGCTAACTATATTTCTAGATAATTATTTTCATGATTAAAAAATTAACAATTATATATGCTATATTCGCCTAAAAGTTAAATATACATATTTCTGTACAAATCTGTATAAATTCCATTGTGTTCATGTATGTGTATGCGTATGTAGCATGGCGATTGGTGCTTAGTGTCATCGCTCAACTATAAAAATGTAAAAGGCAAATTTCTTCTTATGAAAAGCGTTAGATATTTTATTATTACGGAACATACACATGCATCGATATTCTTGCCTCGTCTTTTTACAAGGAGAATCGAAATATCATCCTAGCTCTATGCCTGCCTCATAGGTATCATTAGTATGCATGGGAAAACTTTTGTATACGCATGGATATGGGATGTATGGTCGTGATATATACTGCCAAGCTTTAACCCACTCAAATTTGGTTGCTAATCTCGTCTCGCGAACATCTCTTCAAACATCTCTCTTTCATGTAACCGACTACTGCGAATGTGTCCTTGCAAATTACAATCTCGCGTGTACGCCTCGCATATATCTTATATACTCGCATATATCTTATACTTGCTTTAATAAGTTTTTGCATTAAACACTATAGCCGATGGTATCGTCGAGTGAAATATGTAGAAGAAAGAGAGAGAAACTATACAACATTCTAAAAGAAAAATATATTTTCTCGATGTTGGTCAATAGCATTGTCTCGTCCTGGTCAGATTCTACTCTCTTTACGAGATAAATGTCACAAAAATAAAGACAAACTCTCGCTACGAAATTCGAACGATAGTAATGCAGAGCTAAAGTCAAAAGTTATTTCTTATTTTTATATTTTTATATTTTATTTTATTTATTTTTACTTAAATTTAATATTTTATTTATATAGAAAAAATAATAGTGATATGTCACCATTAGATGTATAGAAAGTGGCAATTAAATAAATAATTACTGAAGAAAATAATTGATACGTTATCCTTTCTATTCATTTTTGTAGAAGAAAAAGGTACGATCGTAAAATAGATCCGAGAATTTTATCTTTGCATACTCTCTCTTTTTACGATCGATCTTCGCTTATCCCACTTGATGGCGGTTAGAAAATACGGTAATTCCACTTTTCGCTTCTATCGAGAGATTCTGCCGAGATCACTTCAATCTGCGGAAGTGCAAAATGAAAGTGGCAAAGTGCAGCTTTCCCCGGTATGCCGCGACTTTACGGCTCATCTCCGTAGGAGAACAGAAACACAGGACGAGAATCACCGAGCACAGTAATCTCGCGCGGATAATGCCGCGAGGAAAGGTCATGACGCAAGAATAGAGTATGCGAGAGAAGATTATTTGGCGCCGTAAGGCAAAGAAGAGCTCACTTCGCCGAGCGGCGAGCAAATCCGGATGCAACAAGTTGCGAATGCAACGAGGCGCATCGCGCTCCATTCTCCCGGTATTATCGGTGAGCAGAATAAAAAGCCACGACGAGAGACAAACATCCGAGTTAAGGTTTCCCGAAGGGGCTTAACGAGGAGGATTAATATAAAGCGCGGAACACAGGTAAATCTTGGAAGCGAAGGCGGACCGTAATTATATCGCGGACACCCTGTAAACCTGTGTCTCTCCCTTATTGCGCGCGTTTCTTATAAGAAGAGAATGAATCTCTCGCAATAAATTTCCGACCTTCCTTTTTTGCGAAATAATTTTTAATTTAATTGCGCAGCCATTGCTTGTTGCTGGAAATTAAATATTGTTATCGTACGTAGGTAATTTTTTTATTAAATTGATGTTTTTTCAAGTAATACGGTCTTAATCATTTCTTATGAATAATTTAATACTCTTTGCAATTTAATTAATTACATCCTTGTAGAATTATATAGAGTCAGTTTATGTATAATCGTAGCGTTAGTATAATAATAATTTAATATAATTGAATTAGTAAATATACTGACTTAAATTATTGTGAATTTTTTAATACAACTTTTTGTAATCTTAAAACAATGTCAAAAGATCTCGGATTCCATCGTGTTCAAAGTAATGTACAGTGTCACGCGTTTTATCATTTAATTATGTTTGCTATAACGTGACGAAATTAATTACAGCTACATACCTTGCGCGCAGTGGCGCAAAGTCAAACACGATTCAATCTTGTTTGCATATAATATGTAATTGTCGAAATCAGCAAACAGCCATTCTAATGTAGTGCTCATTCGTGTTATTACTCGCAATTATAGTGATTGGCAGCGTGAATGCGCCTGTTGCACGCGCTTGCCGTAAATTCAAGCGATGAATCTCGCATCTTCCAATTTAATCAAAATTAAAATTAATAAATTTATCTTCAACATAAATTTGTAATTTCTTTCGTGTAACAATAATGAAATTTAACAAAATACATTTATACTTGGAACAAATTATTTTTAATTGAACTGTTAATTTCATGAAATAATTTAAAAAACAAATGAGAATTGCTGTAATAATACAATATTAACATTTATACAGATTAATGTTATTAATGTATAAATTTTCGTGTTTTTGAATTTCTAGCACTGTTTGTCATTGGATATTGTTATTAGCGAAAAAGTAAAATTTTGGTGTTTTTATTTTGATTCGTGATTAATTATTCCGTGATTTCTTTATTATGCATGTGTATATCGAATTGTTATTGCACAATAGAGAAAATGCCGCGCAGATTTTTAATTAAATATCTATAAACACACGCATATGTGTAAAAAATTTAATTAATATTTGTAATTCAAAATGTTTTCTTTCTACATTGTAGAAATATTGTAAATAGAAATATTGAAATATTGTAAATTTGTATGAAATATTATTCTTACGTAATTCATATTCTCTTTTATAGAATTAATTAACTGTGAAGAATTGATTACCCTTAAAACCTCTGTGAAATGTTGTTTATTTAAAGTTTTCAGTGAAAAGTTTTTAAGTCCATAGATGTGCTGTCAAATAAATTTTTTCGAATTTTTAAAAATAAAGGATTTAATTAATAACAAAAACATCTTTTGGCATATTCACAAATATAAAAATAATAAGAAATCCATAGAAATAATATGAAATCCATTAAATGCGTATAAAATACTAGACTCTAACAGTTTAAAGATTTTATTTTACAGTCGAATAAAGAGTGCAATTAGAATTATATCGTGACATTAAAAAACACGAATAAATGAGAGGTGTATTTTACCTGAACAGGTCCGGCCGTAACCGCGTAAGCGGTCACGCCAATGAAAACGATCGCGATCGATGAGGGAAACGCCATCACGCCGCGAGGTCTGGTATGCCTCTGGAATCGAAAGGGATGCTGAGAGTTCTCCAGAGGAAAATTGTAATCGGTCGCTTGGTATCCTTCGTAACCCGTGGATGTTCGCGTCGTGAAAAACGCGTGGAGTGCCCCGAGTCTCGTGCTTCCATGAAATATATAGAGGGCTGCATTCTCCTCCTGTTTAGGAAGGGGTGCAAACGTCGCGCAGACGCGAGCACGCCGTAGACTTTGACGGCGATTAGACACGTTTTTATTTCTATTTGTGCGAAAGACGATTGTATGTGAATCTATAATGAATTAATAGACGACAAGAAACTTGAACAAGTAAGTAATTTTAGATTTCTTTTCAGAGCAACACAAAGATACGAAATAAACTGCGTATTTATTTTTGAGATGAAGATGAAGATACAATGATATGAAATAAATCTTTTTAATTATGGCACATTTAATTCCGCGTTTAATGAATTATGTTTTTTTCAAGTGTATCAGTTTTATAAAAATTCTCTTTATACATATATCTTCGCATTTTTTCCATTTTCCAAGAATAAAGTGACAATCTAACTTTATAGAATTATTCTAGTATTAGAAAAATAATTGCTATTACAATATATTTTGTTTTATAAAAAAACCAATAACTATATTTTTTCAACAAAAACTATTTTTTAGATAATAAAAAACTTTTTTTCAAAGTTTGTTATATAAACTGTTAAGATAGATTACAAAATTTTGTCCCTCTAAAAATAAAAGGATGATAAAATGGCGAGTTTAGTTATTCTACTATCAATCTAGGGAAGAATATAATAATACTTTAATAAACTTATCAGTTTGAGCAAGTATTCTTCATCATATCGTTGCATCCCGATAACTTTAGCGCTATACATTTCAAGCTGTCCAGACAAGTAAATGATTAATAATCGTTTATCAAACCTGATGTATTTTCTGACCATTAGTAATTCTCGTTAAATAAAGTATTTTTCAATAATGCATCAATTAATGTCAAACTTCGGCGTTGTATCTAAATGGCGTTTAGAAGATTTGAAAGGGAGATTAATAAAGAGAGAGAGAGAGAGAGAGAGAGAGAGAGAGAGAGAGAGAGAGAGAAGTAAACAATACGTACAGATTAATATTACTTAGGTTAACAAGAGATAATTCTTCGATGTCCTTCGAGATCTGTTGAGTATTTATTAAAAGGATCGAACAAGAATTTTAATAACTCGAGTAACACATCAAGTAGGTTTTTTCAATAGATTTATTCATCAATTGTTTAGGCTTGTATTTCAAGATGATCGTCTTTGCTTTGTAACCATATGCCTGTACGCTTCGTTTCTCGATTATAATTAATGACTCCCCACGGATACGAAATGTTATACAACTTTGACAAGATGCTACCTGAATTACAAGTTAGTTACAAGAATCCTTATCAAGCATGAAGAAGCTCCTAATGTCGTTTACAGTGATCTTATCTCTAAGGAGTTGTAAAGGACGTAATATATAATGAAGATAACATTGATTATATTAGACATTAAATATTTTACATGTATAAAATTAATTATGAATTTGGTAGAAAATTTAAGTCACAAGTTTTAAATACCGTTTAAAGAATTTTTAATAAAATTTCTATCCATATAAAATCCGATTAAAATTAGCAAGTTCTTTTACTATTAATTTTTATTTTTGAAATTTAATTCAAAGTATTTTAGTTAAAAGTATTTTAATAATGATTTTAAATAATATCTTTTACGATCAGTGATTAAAAAATAAATAATAGTATAATTTTGAGATATTTTGCATATAGATTATTCCAAAATTACTGCATGTCTTTTTAATAACAAATTCTTTGGTCAATTTGGAATCTACTTTTGCTTAGCGAAAATATCGAAAGAGGTCATCATTTTTTGTAAATTTTACAATTTTTTCCACTATATATTTTTTGTAAATGACTTTAAACTTCTATTAAAGTATAGTCTATCTATAATTAATAAATAAATGTTTTGTTAATCTTCTGACATCGCATAATTTAATAAAAAATCCTTTCTAAATCCTTTTTATAACTATAAGAATTATGAATGCCTCAATATTTTTGCTAAGGAAAAACCATCTTCAATGTTTATTTAAATTGTTCGTGCATCACGAAGAGAATGAAGAACCGTTTTCTTTTCAACTTTGTTGCGAGAATATCATTTTCACAATGATCGATGACACTGTTGGAAAAATAAATACATATACTTATTCTCGCGATGCATTGTTGTCGCAGCATAACTGATCTAATCGGACGATCCAGTGCACGCACGTAAACGGGGAAACCGCGAACTCCCAGCAGAAACTGAAGGAAGAGAGGGGAGACGTGTACCTGCGATCGATCCCGGTCTCGTATATCTAGTGCAGAAAATAATTCTTGGCCATATAAGTTGCGTGCATCTGCGTGCATCGCTTATATGTTTGTCGCGCGTAAACAATGCAAAAATGATTCAGTGATTATGAAACGAGATTGAATTATAATAGTCAACTAAATCGAGAATGTAGCGATATACAAAGATGTGCCAAAAAATGCATGCTCTTTCACATTTGCAGAAATGAATAATAATTTATTAATGTCTAAATATTATTTAGAGAGAAAAAGAGAGACTCTAGAAAAAATTACATTATGCAATTAGTAATCCAAGTATATAAAGTATCAAAAATATATCACCTTTATATTTTTTGAAGATAATTTAATTCAAAGTGCATATATTTTTATCTAGTCACACATGTTTTAATAATAGATATATAAATTACTGAAAAATAGACTTTTCATTCAATAATGAAAATTGCAACTTAAAAAAATTAATTAAATACATGCGTTTTAAATTAGTTATTCTCAACTTTTAATCGGTATTGTACGTGTAATAATTAATATTTTTTATTAATGCAAAGAAAGCGTCAAAATATAATACACAGCTGATACTGAAACCGATCTATTAATCATGTCAATTTAAAATTACTCGTGAAATATATAATACGAAATGTTAAGTTAACCGGGTATCTCTGTATATTTATATGTGCATTATTTTGTAAATGATTTTCAACTATTATTTTAACTAAAAAGATCTCGAATCTCAACAATTTAACTATATTCTATACTATATTCATTTAACATATACCTTGAGTAATGGTATTAAATTCTATTATCATGCATATACCATTGTCAATATAATAATACGATAGTCAATAATCCCTTCAAAGACCTTTTGTCGATATAATCTCTGCGACCGGTAAATTGAAAGGTATAAACGAGTTTCTACGCCGGGTTACGCAATTCGTGCGATTCCCAAACGTATTACGTTATTTTGTTGCGAATCTCACGAACGCTAATGGACGGAGAAATGTGCATTTTCATTACCTCTCTGACTGCGAATAGTGCGGGATAATAGCAACATTTCCGCTCTCAGTTAGTTTAGTTACATCTTTCCAAAGAGAACAATCCGTTGTTGTTTTATTGATATTCTGGGTCGTCGTTAAAACTTATGACGAGCTCGTTAAAAACCGGCTCTGATTCTTGCGCGTCGGTAGTCATATAAATTCCATTCTGGTGTTCGTCCGAATGTTGGCGTGACACACCGGTGATAATCAAATACACGTGAAAATGACGTTACGTATCAGTTTTCCGCGAGCCATCTGCGGCAAATTAAATCTCAATTAAAATCGCTCGGCATACACCGTATATCACTGACTTTTGAAAAAATTGAAAAAAAAGTTAAATGGCTCAGTATATATGATTGACTATTTTCGTTAATATCATTTTACGATAAAACTGTTGTTGCGTAATTTTATAGAATTGAAAAAGAGAAAATACATTAACTCTGATATTTAAAAGAATCAAAATTTTTAAATAAAGTACACAGGAAAAAAGAACATTCTTGTTTTGAAAATATATTTAGTTTTAACATGAAAATTTTGAAATGAAATTATATTACATTAATTAAAAAAATATATATAATTGCTTGAATAATCGCTTACTTGAATGAATCCATTTCATATAGTTCAATCAAGAAAAATATATTCTTACGATTTAAGATTTTATTTTCTTGAATGAAAAAGAAACAATGTTAGATAGAAAGTAACATTTTTAAATCAAAGATTATAATTTTCTTAAAGTAGAATGAAATAATTATATATTCTTGAGGTGACAATTACAATATTAAAATAAGACTATAATATTGTTGAAATTTAAATTTATTAAATTCTTCTAAGAAGATTATAAATTGTTGCGTATATACGAAACAATGAAGATGTTAGTTTAAATATGTAAGTTTTGATTTGACACTTATTTTTTTCTGTGTATCAATCATTTTCTTATAAGAAACAGAATAAATGAATCGTCAAATAATTTGATGCAAAGATATCGATGAGATGAATGAGTTTCGATAGAAGTTTCTAACATATGTGACGATTATACGTCACATACATGACTACTGAATTGATATTCGCAAAAAAGTTTTCCGCAACGTTAATAACTTTCAACTGTGCTTTACGAGCTTAACGTACTTGGTCTGCTTGAAAACTGTAAATAAATTTTATTTTGCAAGTCATTTCCCTGCGCTCCCAAATTTGTCAATTCGATGGTGCACATTTTGCGTCACGACAGCAAACAACGGAATTGGAATTTTATAGGTATCTACTAGTCAAGTTTATTACGCAATGTCAGTCGAGACAAATATTCCAAATGAAATTGACGAACGCCCTTACATGCGGCGATCCCGTCTTGGTGGGTCGAAAATTCGATTCTCTCGCAGTCCGAAGGAAAAAGAACTCTTATTTATGGATATGAATAGAGACACGCGAGAAAGAATAAGACAAAAGAGGATTGCGTAGACACGGTGCGAACAATGGCAGCTGAAATCCACGCATCCTCTCCAATGGATATCGAGTGGCATTAATGGCATCTTTTGGTGACAAGATATAATGGGATCTCACCTATCGTCTCGAACTATAGGGTCGCGCTATTATTTTCATAATTTCGTATATAAGGAGCGAATGTTAGAGATGTGTCTTCAGTCTACGGTGACGACTCGTGCTAGACGTGTCCTAGAAAGGATGAAGCTCCTTATTCTTTGTGTAAGCTACCATCAGATACGAGCTGTGTGTCGACCCTTCTACAATTTATTAAACCGTATTTGCGGCTATGTGAACAAAATACTTGATATATCACTTGATATTTATTTAAAGTTACATGTAAAGAAAATTAAACGAAGAAAGTAGCTAATTTTTCTTTTGCTTTTCGAATTTCGTGGAAATTGCAGTCACACAAATAACAGATTCTATGATAAATTAAAAATTAAATTTTCCTTCGAGAAAATTTTGAGGAATCATTATTTATTAAAAGTTTCTTTCATGTTTACTATTTATTATTCTTAAAAGATTAAATCTTGTGAATTGAACTTGTAAAGAGATATAAGCTGTTTAAATGTGTGTGAAATTTTATCGAAAAAAAAAAAGAATATTACAGAATATTATATTCTATTATATTCTACGGAAAGTTGCTGACATTAATTTTAAACGCATGCAGGGAGCAGAGAAAATAAAATATCTTTTACTAGAGAACATTCTTTTATAAGCGGTATTATTAAGTGATAAAAATATCTTCGATTATTTTTAGTTTATATGTAAATAAAACTGTGTACTCTAAGATTTTCTAAGAAAATTATCTCTATTAGAACATATTTTCTTCGCTTTCTGTAAGTATTTAAAAGTGATAGCTTTGATTAGTTTCAGTAACTTCTCGTACAGAAGCACCTTGAATAATCTCATTTTATGATAATATAAATTGATTTCAATCTGATCTTATTTTAATTATGCAAAATTAAAATGTTTAAATGTACGAAATCAGGTAATGGTCCACGGCTTGCTGGCGGAGGGTCCGGGACAAGTCCTGTGGAAGGAACAGGTCGTCGCGCCGGAGTTTCTGCTGGACGATCGCGAGGACATCGCGAGTAACCGGAATGCTTTCTTTTACGAGGACAAGCGCAGCTTCCGTCCCGAGGGGCTCGGCGAGCAGGTTAAACGGATCGCCGGTGCCGAGGATGTCGGTCTACAACCGCGCCTTGTAACGAGAGTACGTTTGCATAATTTACGAGAATTTCTCCCTCTTTCAAACTTTTTTTTTGCGAGCAAGTAACGTCTTCTTATACGACGCTGTCGCGTCTCAGTCGGAATGAATTACAAATTCATCATTTACACTACACGATGAGACCTGCGATGTAACGCAGAAGAGTACTTGACTGTCTAGCTAAAGCGCATATTTTATTTAAATAATCCGAAGAGCAGAATAAACAAATGGCATATGTAAAGTTTGAGTAAAGTCCATTGTCCATTGCATTTTTTTCTCCTCGTATTTTTGTTGTTTATTAAATGGAAACTACACTCTAAATTAATGTTATTAAGAACATTTTTTTGCACACATTGTCGTAGCGCGAATTAAAATATCAAAGGTCATTCCGCAAGATTAATAATTCTAACTGCAAATAATGTTTTTTTACGCGTTATAGAAAAATTGCGTTAACATTTTGCTACAACAGTGGCAAAATATTAACGAACCGTTAGTCAAATGCAACTCAAGTTACATAAAAAGTACGTGAGATAAAGAGAATTTATTCTTTTTTTTTCCACATTGGCTATTTATTTCACAGATTTTATTTTGTAATACATAAACCAACAATGAAACAATTGTCAATAACCATGTAAAAAATAACGAGTTCACAATGTATATTGAAATATATCATTTCGTAAAATTTAACTGGCGTTGAAAGGTTGAAAATAAATTTGTTGGAAAAATTAGCAACGTTCAGTGAATTCCACGTTGCATTGCTTCGTCTTTTTTAGTTAATTAACTAATTAATTAATTAATATAATAAATATAATTAATTAATTTTTTAATTAATTAATTTTATTACAAATGACTTCATTATTTTATTTTTATCTGTCCCATTTTCGTGCTCGCAATATAAAAAATATTTCGAGTCATTTGGAATAAAATTTAATTTGACATTTTTGTATATACATTTCCCATTTATAATTTCGTTGGTGAAAATATAAAATAACTCCGAAATAGAAATAAAAATTGCGTCTTTTTTTAAATAAAATTATAGTAAAAAGAGTGTGCGGGCGTGTTTCGAATCGCAAATTATTTTAAATATCTACAATTTAAACATGAATTTGTATACGCTTTATGTACATATTGATATAAATTTTTTTATCAATATAAGGAAAAGATAAAGAAGAAATAAGATTAGAACTATCTCACCTTTAGCATACGATTTAGTTAAATTATATGGAATAGATGGGTTTATGAGAGTAGAGATGAATCGTATTTTGAATTAGATTTAAAATAATTTAAAAAAATGAATTATAAAATTAATTTATAAGAGAGAAAAATACAGATATAGCTTTCGAATACATAAATAACATAAAAAACAAGTTTTATAATTATTTATTATTAAATTAATCCAATTATTCTTTGCGAAATTACGAAACATTAATCTTAGCTATTCTAACAGCTGAATTTATTGTTTTAGCCAAAACCTTCTAGGGAAGGGGTTAATTAGTTTAAGATTTAAATTGTAATTATATGTAATAGACACAAAAGTTTGCTCATTAATTTGTGCGAATTTCATCTTCTTCTCATATATTAGTAATTCGAACTTCAGTCTACGTCTCAATTAACGGTCCACTTCACCTGATATTGCAATACAGCGTAATAAAAATCATTTAAGAAGACGTCATTATTTCAGTCCCTGCAATGCACCTGCGAGACGGAGTACGAATATAGAAACCTAGGCGAGGGACACTATCCGAGGTATCTGACCACGTCGCATTGCAAGCCGAAAGCCTGCCAGAACAAGTTCAATTCCTGTCGACTGCTTTACTACAAGGTAAGATTGCGTGACAATCCAATCGATAATCCGGGTATAGTGTAAAGTAGTGTATTACCGCGTTAGGTGCGTCCGTCGCCTAAGTGGTTGTCGAGTACTGTGCAAGTATACACAACTTTAATTAGCGCCGACCGCGTAAGCTCACCGGCTTATTGATCAACGAACTTCTCACCCCGACGATAAACATTGCCGCAATAAGTTACGTTGTTGCGTGATCGCAACAATGCGATACTAAATAATTGTCCATTACAGTGTTATACCAGAGTTTCATTTAATTATGCTTCGTGCGTTTGATTTGACACGCTGAAAATTTGATTATATAGTATTAACCTTGTATCGCAAATACACGATTATACGATTGAATCTTATTTCGTCTGTCGAATCAATAGAATGGTATAAATTGAATACCGTTCCTCTGTCTGATTAAGACACGTCATAATTAATATTGCATTAATAATGACTTTGCATTAATAATGACTTTGCATTAATAATGACTTTGCATCGTGACGTGACCTAAATTATTAAATTATAACGCTAACGTTTATAGGTGAAAAGATATGTGGAAAATAATACATTTAGCTATCTGTATATCTTTAGCTTTTATTTTCTAGAAAAAAGTACATTTATTAAAATATAAACAATATAACAAAATATTTGCTCACTTTTCATAAAAAAAACATAAATAGAAGGGTGGACAGTTTTCAGTGGATTGAAAACAAAAATATATAACATACATATTGGTTCTTGCGTCGCCTACGTTTTCCATCTCTCAAATAGGCGAAAATATTAAGCCGGGATGAAATAACATGTAACAGTGGAATTGAAAATAATTGTTATTAATTAACAAAATACACAATAATTGTTATTAATTAACAATAAATACGTTCGTGATTCTACTGTTACTTGTGAAAATTAAAGCAAGAAGTTGAAGCAATAATATCGAGGATTAATTAATCTGTGCATAGATGATATCCTTGTTACAATTCGTTCGTGATAAGAATTCGGCTGCCGACCAATTCTAATTAATTACATTAATTTACATGCTCGTAATTACTCATCCGGAAACTGTTATGGAACAACGGTGCAGTGAATTACAAAACGACACGGCCGAATGCATGTTAGAATAATTGTTTGCAACCCATTTTGTCCTCTGCATCATTAATTATCCTTGAAATAAATCTGAAGATTAAATCAAAGCTACGGCATTGACTATTTTTAGTGAAATTTTTAGTGAATATTGAATAAATAATGCAGAATATTGCGAGTAAAATTGCAGAAAAAAGCTAAGAACCGCAACATTTTCCCCATCATTTTTCCTAAAAAAAAAAATATATATATATATATATTATTTATATTTATATTTATTTATTTATTATATTTATTATTTATCTCAAAAGAAAATATTTCTTAATATTGTAACATGCGTTATTCAACATACATATAAAGCACAAGATCATAAATATATTATCGCGTTTATTATCGAAGTTAATTGTCTATACTTATAAAAATACTGACATATTGAGACATATAAATATATAATACAAAGACATATAAAAAATTTGTTTTTTCCTCTTATAACATTCGCTAAACCAAAGATCGAAAGATAATAATTATTTTATCTTGTCCACATACAGGTTCACATACTGAGTCAACGTGATTTGAACGGATTAAGCGATGATCGTTACTCAGATGATAGTGAGACGGAAACGCCGCTTCCGGAAGCTCTCCGTCACAAGTGGCAACTGAAGCCAATGAAGATCCCAGTCGCGTGTGTGCCGGCGACAGGATAGAAGAGATTCATGTACATGGCCATCTCGGATGTGCCAGCTCGATCGAGGAGATAGGATCTAGCAATCTTCGTCGACTGCGTTCTTTTTCCTTTTTTTTTTTTTTTTGAAAAGATGATAAGTATCTGAGAAGGAAATACGAGCAACATATTGAATTTTATGCTTCCGCTTCCAATATGACAAAATGTAAAATATGCAATCGATGAATAAATAATTGGATTGTGAACTTCGAATCGAGTATAATTCTCACACCTCTCGTTAAATCCGTCAATATCTCAACCTGTGAAAATATATGTAGCATAAATTAGCAGTCCTTCAACTGTCAAGTGTAAATAAATTAAATGAAATTTTTCAAAGCAATCTATCAAATATATGTGCTTCAAATTTAAAAATTCAGAGAATTATTAAATTTTCTTCTACTTTGAATTTTGTACAGATTTAAAAGTACACATTATTAGTAATTCTTTTGGGTACATTTATTTTTTTTCTCTTTCCGCTACAGAATTTTTATCTTGCTGTTAACAATTTTTAATGAAAAACTGATAAATCACTTAAATAGTAGACATCGTAGATGTAAATACGTATATAATTATACGGTAAAAGTAGCTTGCAACTTTTTCTCAGAAATGCATTAAATATCATGACGACTCGTGCTGAAGCAATGCACTTGACGATGCAATTTTTAAATTAAATTTTTAAATTAAGTTGGACAGCAAAAAGATAAGATAAAAGTCAAAACAATAATAATGTTACATATAATTCACTTTTCAAATTTGATATGAAAATACTCTTTAACTTGCTTTTTTAAAAAACATTAAAGTTTAATAAAAAATTATTTAATTTATATATTTATACATATAAAATTACAGAGGTGCAAAGAATTAATTACAAAATTTACATTAATTATCATTATCCTTTTCAATCCTCATTATTTTATATAGATACTTTACAAGAATAACAATTTTCGCAATTTCTATATGGCAACTGCATACATATTCAATGCTGACCTCGCGCAACAAGTTTTCATTCGGCGCGTAAAATAATTTAAAAGGCAAGATCGATTACTTGTATTTTGCGTCGGATAGAGAAATAAATCGTGGTATTTTCGGTCGTTCTAGAGTTACCGAAGCAATCAGCGGCATAAAACCGAACGCAATGAAATCTACAATGCAAAGACCCAATTCTCCGTATAATTAATCGCGCTGTAAAATACCTGATTAAAAAGGGTACAGCTCACTTTAATGACAGCATCCAACTTTAATCCCGATTTAATTTTCAATTACGGCGCCACAATTGCGGTACGTTCTTCTGACATTTCATAATTTTGACCCTTCGTTTATATAAAAGATTTGATGAAACATTATTACTTGTATATATTATTATTATTATAATCATTTTCTTGTAAACATTTTAAATTAATTTGATTTCAAGCATTATATAATTCAGATTTCAATTCTCTCAAATTGTCATTTTTGTATTATAAAATCTTGATAATATCATTCTATTTATTAAAAGCAATCGCTGATATAAATGCTACATTAAATACAATGTTGATATAAAGTTTTCTATATATATATATATATATATATATATATATATATATATATATATATATATGTCACAATAAATATGTAATAAGATACAGGAAAACTAAAAAATAAAAATATATCATATATTAAATTTGCGTACTAAATAAACGAAGAGAAATAATAATTTCTTAAATCATTACTGATTTTACTCATACAAGTTTCGATCATAATTAGCTAAGTACATAATGCTCTATGCTATTAATTTCGTATCATATTCTAAAAAATGATGATATGCGATAAATAACAAATAATACCGAATCAATTAAATAAACGTCTTGTAAATAAGTCTTGTAAAATGTATGTTAAAGGAATAGCTGCGTAATTTACTCAACTATATTCCAAGTTTTGGTAGTTGATCGTTTCTTTACCTTGCCCTTTGCGAGTTGTTTAAATACAGGTATTTTCGCGTACACGCGTATCCATGTATATCAAATTCCTAGAAATTCATAGAAATGCATGAGAAGCTCCTCTTTATAACTTTCAAGTGATATTTACTTACTCAGCAACAGATGTTACCTTAAAGGCGCCATCCATCGCGTACCCATGCGATTAAGGATTCCGAATTATATGAAATATCGCATATACTACGTACATTTTTCGCATTATTTGGACAAATTCTCTGAACGTAAATATTCCAACAATAAAAAAACAAATTATATAGTTATCAGCTTTCTGATAAAATTTTTTAAATTATATTACATAAGCTGTTCTGCCAATTCTAAATTTAATCAATTTTAATAAAAAATGTATATCTCTTTCTCTGCCTCTAATAACAAAAACATAATATTAATATTTAATAATATTTTCATTTTAAAATGTTAAAAATAAAATTAAAATTAGTATTGGATATGATAACTGCGAAATTTTAAACAAAGGATGAAAAAAAAACAAACATACATATTATTTATTGATACGTATATTATACATATTATTTATTGCTACGCGTTTATAAAATAATACAGATAAATAAAGAGAAAAAAAAACAAATGCAAAATGCCTCAAGCACTATTGCGATATAAATACGATCTTCATGTATATTTATTTTCAAATTTGTATTTTATTTTTTAAACATCGCAAGAGTTTTTAAATTAAATTTGAAATAAATTTTTAATTCTCTCTCGCGCGCAGAAATGACCTTGTTTTTTCCTCATCCTCTCTCCCTATTAGGGGCTAAATCTAGTTTGAACGCCCGAGCTTTTTAAGACGAATCTAGCTTGCACGCTTTTGAAAGAGTTCACCGTATTACATGCTTATAAGCACAAGGAATACAAGCTATATCCATAAAAACGACAAGCTGCCTGAGTCTGCGGGTGTTCATATCGGGAGTTACGCATCGCAGACTGCGTACACGAAAAACCAATACTGCACAGCCAAGCAAGACTCGGTCAGAGCTAAATCTTGAAAGCCAACGGGCCCGAATGCGCCTCTAATCTCATTAAGTACGTACGTGTACGTCGCTTTGTCGTTACGACAGCTTGATGTACCACTTAACGATAAACCTCACGTACGACGAAAACATCCCCGAGAGAGGGTCGAGATTCGATAACCATATTGATTCTCAAAAAAAAACACAACTAATGGAATAAACCTCCCTTTGATCATTTTAAATTAATTACTTTGAATATAAAAGTATTGTGTATATATATAATATTATATATATTTTTGTAATCAATATGTCATTTAAAAAGTAAGCTTTTCAAGAAATAATTCTCGCTATTGAGGATAAACAAGTAAAATTTCATAGTTTCTATTTAAGTCAAAAGTTCTAATAGGATTTTATTTTGTATCGATTCATCAGATTTTTATCGAAAAAAAGTAATTCAAAAAAATTATAGAAAAAAAGTAACAGGACAAGAGTATGAAAATTCTGCATAAAAGTTCAAACAAAATTAACGAAATATAATTGATAATATCAGAGTTTAAATTTTAATTGTTTTTACTCATATCGATACGAGAATCCTCTCTTGAATTAGTTTTTTTCGCAAAATTCTATCCAGCATAAATTCGAGAAGCAAATTATTTCGCCGCAATTTTACCGCAGCCGTGTATCTTAAACAATTTCTCTTTGTGCAAGGGAGTTTACACAATAATGAAGAAATAAAAATGACGAAGTACACGCGCGTGATTCGTTTATCGCGCACATACAAAGCCATCTTTTATGTTATCGCGCATGCAACGCAATTTTTCAAATTTTATAGGGGATTTATTCCGGGCCGACTGCCCCACGGTCTCTTTGTCGTCAATACATCGTATAAATTACGCGTGCATTCGTCGGTCGATCGAGCATGGTTAAAACCCCGCTTGGAGAGCGTTAACGGTTTCCAGGAGCAAACACTCGAACGCTGTTTGCTCTCTTGCCTCGACAATATTGGTTGTCTGTCACCATCGCTCGGTGTCGATGCCTGTGCATGCATCTTTACTCTGCTCTCTAACCGCATGTGATTATACAGGAAACAAGTATAGGGATATGTGGAAAGAGAGAAAGAGAGAGCACATACACATATGTACATTTGCGCGGTTCACAATTTCGACAAATTAGATAAAATAATTAAAATAAGGTTTAACAGATAATATATCTTCTGAACTTTTGAATTAAATTAGTTTTGGAAAGTCAAAATTAACATTATATGTATGCAAGTTGATGGGAATAAAAGTTTGATAGGTATATAATTTCATTATAAAATTTTAGAATCTCATTTTATAGAATCATAAAATTAGTATACGTAACGAAAAAAGTTGTACTTTACGTTAATAATCTCATCAATTTTGCTTTCATTGCCAAAAAGAGTGATTTATTATATCATTTTAAATGCGTAAAACTAAATTTATATCCAAAAAAGAGAATAACAACGTATATATATATATGTATACTCATATATGTATACTCATTAAAAATAGAAGTTATAATAAAAGTAATCAATAAATGAACGTAAAAAGTTTAAAATTGATTCGTTTTTTTTATCAGACGTTTGTAATAATAATATTATAATTCCATCTTTTATGAATTTTACGACTTTAAAATTCTTAAGCTAGAAATAAAGGCTAAATTTTTTAAATATTGTAATACAAAATATTTTATAAGCAAGTAATTTATGTGGATAATCGCAAATTCGCAAAAATTTGCGCGATGGATATATTTATATCTATGCAAAAGCACTTTATACACGCATAGACTTTTACTATAAAAGTTAACAAACATGTCAACTATAAAGCGGCTTGAGAATAATGACTGTAAAAGCTATATCCGATAATCTTAGAAAAGAGAACATGTACATGGGAGTTATGCATTTACGAAGATTGATTCTCTCTCCCCCCCCTCTCTCTTTCTCTCTCTATCTATCTATCTATCTATCTATCTGTCTCTTTTTTATTTCATTCTCATTTTTCTTTTTTTCTGTCGTCTTTTTACTTAAAATCTAAGCGAGAATATCTAGGTCAATGTAATATTTAAATATTAATATCCGTAAATGGAAAATTAACATGATAAATGCAGCGAGTGCGAATATTTCCGGAAATTTCTTTCCTTTTAACAAGAAATTCTACATATCAAGACCAAGGAGATACCATCGAGCCACCATTTATGTACGAGAATAGATATGATTACACGCGAGAAAAAAGAGGGAACTCTTTTTTCCGGATCTTTTTCTCGCATTAAGAACATACAATTTCATTTAGAGAGAAGGAGTTGAGTTTTTCTGGGATTTTTATTTCTGGCTCTCTCACTACGGTAATTTTTACGCGGGTGTCTCTCAAAACGAGAATCGCGCGATTGAACATTCCCATTGTTTTTTCTAACTCTTTTCTGGGCGAACGCCCAGAAGCACGTATGGGGATATCATCACTGGGCGACATTCCGGCCCTCGAGCGCGGATATAAGCCACTTGAGCCATCATGTATGTGTTTGCGCTCTGGCTGATCTTTCATTTACCTTCCAGGTGGGCGTATTGCCGGCAGCTTAGCCGTACTTTGCTTCCACTATCTACGCTCCGTGCAGTCGTATCACTGATAAAAGTGATGCTGACGCGCGTCGCGACCGACGCGGCTGATCGATTAATCGCTCAATGGCTGATAACAAACACAGTTTAGTAAAAATTAATTCTTCTTTTTCAAGCCAGAGACAAAGGAGTCTTAATTTCTCCTAGTTATTTTCAGTTGAATGCAATTTTGACTTTCACCAAACTATACTATCACGTAATAACTTCGAGGAACTTCTAATTAAGTTGTAAGAAGAAGCTATCTTTTAATGTAGTTTACCAGACTAATACAGTATATAACAATATACCATGATTTCAGCAAAATTTCATTTCATTCGTAATTTTAAGTTATTGAAATTTTCAATTCCTGGAAAAAATTGTGTTGTAAAAATTAAGAGATTTATGGAATATTTCTGATTAAATATATTAGGATCCATAATATTAAGAAGTTAGAAATTTGATTTATTTGAAAAAAATATAAACAATTTATTCAATATTTTTCAATTATTTATTCAAACTTAAAGATCTTTAATGCTTAAATTCTATAAATTTACAATTTTAATATAATAAGTGTTAGAATTTTCGAATCTTTACATTTTATATCAGTTATATTAAGAATTTTGTTGAATATAAAACCTATGATATTAAAACTGATGAGCACATATAATAGATTTAATACATAAGTATTATAAATAATTTTTTTACAGTATATTATAAATCCAAAATATTTAATCGCTGTTTAAAAAAATCTTTCAAGTTTCGAGTTAATAAAAATTTAAGAGAGTTAAAAAAATTTGGTGTGCTTTCTTGAAAGCGTTTGATAAAATATAATCAATAAAAAAATTTTATGCGCTATCCTACGTAATAATCTCCTCTTCAACTGCTCGACAAACACTCGATAAGATTGTATATCGAAAAGAGGGTAATCCGGTATTACACAGACTAGTTAAGTAATTATCTGAGAGTATAATACGAGAGTAATAAAAAAATATATGTGTATTTTGTGTGTATTATTTCATTATTGCAGGATGTATAAAAACTCGCAAATTTTATTAAAAAACTAATAATGATTTATTTATAAACATTTTAAGAAAAAACTATTAAATCATAATTCTTTAATATATTTTATATTAATTACCTTTGTAATTAAACAATTCACAAGTTCTCGAAGACATTATATATATGATTAATACTTTGATTAATACATCTATTTTGTGTTATATTATCCATCTTTAAGGACAGTTTTGACGAACCCTCTAAATTATTTTTATGTTTAAAATAATTTTTAGATGCAGTGAAATATGTTGTGATGATATTCTTTTGCAGTGATTATTCTTTATACAATCAACCGATATCAAACGACATCGTTTACCGAAAATCATTTACTCGGATACAGACGTGAATCAAGCGAGGTCGCCAACCTTTGGATGGTCACCGTTGTTAAAATCTTGCGAAGAAAAAGTGCTGTTCGTATAATAGCTCCTGGGTGGCACATCGGAAGTGCTTTGAGTTAAGCACCGACCTCGGTAACTTTATCCCTCGAGAGCTATCTTTCGAATATTTTCTTCTTGCCTTCATCCACCACCTTCTCTCAGCGTCTTCGCTATCATGTTTGGGATAGATATCTCTACGAGGACCAATTATATAAAATGTTATTTTTCTCCCGTAAATACAACAATCGATACTAACTTTCCGTTCTAATTCGCAGAAAAAATTGTCAGAATTTCAAATAAAGAAAAAAATAATAGCAAGTTTTTCAATACATGTAAATGTTAAAGTAACTTTTTAAAAAACTATGTAAAAAGTTTCACTCTTTTTTTTATAAAAGTAGAAATGTAAAGAAATAATGTAGTTGTTCAATTATCTCTCTATTATAACATAACAATATCTTTCTGAAAATTATTAATAATTAAATAAAACTTTAGAAAATTTAATTTTTATTACTGATGTACATATTAGATAACTTTTTTCTAACGGAGTTACAAAAAAATAGTTTAAAATTAATCGTCTTTATTCAAAGACGCTTTATTTATTCATGGGACACCTTTTGCTCGTTTTTTAATCGTGTAATAACGTGTCTCTATTTATTGCCCGTAAATAAAACTCGTTGTCGCGTAAACGCGTAAACTTTGTGACCTCGGCTTCTGCAAACGTCAAGGTCGTTCCGCACAATTTCATCTGCAGCTAAACTGCATATGCGTAGGTAGTACCGTAAATTTCATTCTCTCACGGATATTCAAATATCGAAAATGAGGCTACGCGCAATAACATTATTACGCTGCTCGGCGATTAATAACGTGCGACATTTATAAATGCAGTAGCCGATGCGTTATGAGGCCGGACAATTCGTAACATTCTAAGCTACAATGTTTAATGAATGTTTTCCCGTCCAATTTCGGCGCCTGACGTTGAATATTGAGCGAATCTGCATATCTAGAACGTAGTTCTAACGCACCAATTATTATGACATAAAAATCATGTACATATATATTCCACATTTATATCGAAGCGACACAAATATATTAAACAACAACAAATATATTAAACAAATTTAGTTTCATATAAAATATAATATATATTTTTAATTTAAAGTACGTTTTAAATATATAATTTATCGATAAAAAATGGATGTTTAACAACTTGATCATTTAATTAAAAACTATGAGGACGAGAAAAATTGTAGCAAGAGTAGATTGTTTAATCAAGAATACAGCAATAACAACAATAAATAAGATTAACATAATCTGATAACGCGAAACAGAATCCTAAACATGAACAATCGTAAGAAAGGAATTTAAAAGGTGCTCGATAGGACAATAGATAGGTGACTTTGCCATTTGAGTAGATGGCAAATCGATAGTTAAATGAAACTATCGGAAAGAGCGGACTGTCAGGGAGCAGGGTTGATGCAACTATCAAACGGTGCGCCGAGTTAATTAATCAAATTATAAGAGGGTACGCTACGTTAATGACGAGACGAAGCGTTACGTTGTCCACGACAGTGTCCGAAGCCACTCACACATTTTTCTGCCTTTTAACATCGTGGAGTCTTGACTATCTAAATATATTTTTAGAAATATTGTTCGATTACGCATATATTATGCCGCAGAATGTACGATATCAATCATTTGTTTAAATACGATTTTTTATTATTATTATTATTATTATTATATCAATACCTTACAGTTAATGAAAATCGAATTTTGTATAAATAAATTGAATAATTTATATAATAATTTATGAATAATTTATATAATAATTTATATGAATAATTTATATAATAATTTATGAATAATTTATATAATAATTTATATAATAATTTATGAATAATTTATATAATTTTTAATATTTATTTTTAATATATATTAAATAATTATTTCTAACTGAATATTTATAGCTGAACTTAAATAATTGAATTATTTTTTATGTTTTATGTCTAATTGATAAGATGACGGATAAAATTGAACAGGATTTTATTGCGTCCATTTTCTTTTTCATTTTTAAATTACATTCAAATATATAATTTTTTAGTATCCTTTTTTTAATTCGAAACTCTTAAAATAAATATTTTTATCACTTGTGTTATGTGCTATTATATATAAAATTTGATAAATTTGTTTATATTTATCTTTCTCATACATACTTTTCTCGAAAACCATCATTTTTAAATAGATACATAAGCACATTCGCACATTCGCACATTCTTCGCGCATGGCAAACAGATGATTTGCTACGAGTAAAACATCGCATCCTTTTTTAGAACGATCGAAACAAAATGATTCGGTTGGGCTTCGGTTTCGTGATTTGTGTTTTTGTGACAGCGAGCTTCGTAGACACGTATTCATACAGATACAACGGTATTGTAAAACAAGTTTTTGATAAGTCTTTTCAATCGTGTTGATATTTCTAACCTAAAACAAGAAATGATAGCTTGTTTAGCGTCTTTCTATTATTCCCTGTCAAACACCATGCACGTTTTGATGAATATTATTCTAATAAATGGTAGAAATTGAATCGATTATAAATTTTTATTGATGTCTGGAAAGCGTCTATTTTTCTTTAAATAATAATATGTGTTTGACATTAACAAATAATTTAATTACGCAATAAATACGTCTAACGTTAACAGATAAAAAAATCCTTAATAATATATATTTAGTATTAACAAATAATGTAATTCTTGCATTTAAAGAATGCTAAGCTCTCATTTTTTCAAAAAAATTTTGCTAATTTATATACCTTTTAAAAATAATAGATCAAATTATTCAGTTTCTCTGTTATGACCCCTCAATTGTTTTACAGATTATAATGATATACTTGAGGAACAGAATGAGAATGTCGTGCAAAGCATGAAACCGTCTGAGGCACTTCAATATTTTAGGCATTATCTTCTCAACAGTGAGAACAACAAACAGACAACAGGTAACAACAAAGAGAAACGTAGAAATCTTGAGGATGATCTTGAGAATTGGACCGGACGTTGGATGCCTGATAGATTTGACAATCCGACACTACCACCCAAAGTATTGCCAAAGACTCAGCAATCATACAAATATGGATCAGTGGCAGAGTTACCTTGGCCAGGACGTTGGATGCCCGACAGACCAGACGATCCAACACCATCGTCTAACATATTGCCAAAAAATGAACGATTATATGAATATGAATCTATTACAGAATTTCCTCACGAAATGTATATGGGTCATGTTTCACCGGAATGTGATGATGCTAAGGTTAATGTCGCCTTTTATCATACAGATTGTTTTTATAAATAGAGATTTCTAGAAATAGTACTACATTTTTAATTGAATTATCATATGTGTATTTTAATAACGATAACATTTCAGACTAACTTAACTATTGATTGGGATCATACCCCTGCAGAATATACATGTTATGGTCATAAAATTATACCGAGCAATATTATGCCAAGGGTTTACTGTGAAAATATTCCAAAGACATATAAGGTAAAAATATTTTATATGTCGTTATCATATACTGGTGTTATTTATATTTGGTTGGATGCATTAGTACGCATCGCTGCACATTAAAGGCTGTCGTATGTAAATTTACACAATAATATAAATATTAGAATAGTAAAATAATATCAATAATACAAGTTATTGTTATCATTATTTGTATTTAATAACATATAATAATTCATGATGTTATTATTATGATGTTATCACATTTCATGATGTTATCACAAGTTATTGTTATCATTATTTGTATTTAATAACATATAATAATTCATGATATTATTTTACCGTTTTAATTCCTTATATTATTGTGTAAATTTACAAGCAACAGCCTTTAATGTGCATGTGCATCTTTGTGAATCTAACAAAATTTACTATTAACAATATAAATTTTAATCAAAGCATTTTTCCAGGCTGCTCACAAATGTATGAATCAGAAAATTGAATATGATGACGACATTCCTATTTAGTAAGTAAATTATATTTTACTGTTATTTATAAACATTATTAGTTCCTAATATTTATATATGACTTATAGTGGTCCACATAGACCTTTGTGGCCAGTTTATGGAGAATACAAATATGTGCCGAAACAGAGATGGCTGCACAGTCTCGAGGTAATATCGTTATAATGTATTATTTGTGAATTTGGTATCAAGGTATTATTTATGTTCGTTTATCCTATTTTATCCTGTTAACAGCATGGAGCAATCGTCATGTTGTATCATCCATGCGCGAATCCGTTGGAAGTAGAACGTTTAAGAAATCTGGTTAATAAGTGTCTTTGGCGACATATTATCACACCATACAGTTACCTGGATGAGGAACGTGTAAGTATAGCACTATTAATTTTAATATTCTCTTTAACATCTTCTAATTTTCCTCATTTAGTCCTTACAATATGTATTATTCTTATAATATATAATTATAATATATAATATATATTATTCTTAAAAGTTTAGCTATTATCTATCTTTGATAATTATTATTCTATCCTTGCAGCCCTTAGCGCTTCTATCCTGGGGCTGCAGATTAACTATGTCTTATGTAAATCCCAAAGTAGTAAATCGTTTTATACGGAAAAAGGCTCTTCGCGGCCCAGAATGGCAGATCGCGGACGATGGTCAATTCGAGGACGGATTGCTCAGTCGAGCAAAGATAGTGACGGATCCAACGGATTCCGTACTTTGTCCTAATATATAATAAGAATGTATTATATGTGTGACACACAATAATATCTCTCGCATTTCCAAGCTCGCTTTTAGTATGCAATGTCTCTCTCTCTGTTTATATTTTGTATATATTTTATGGAAAAAACTCAAAGTAGTTATCGCCCGCTTTCCATTATGTATGATATTTAATTAGATGTGTGAAAATTATTTATTTGCAATATTTTTATTATTTAGCGAATTAACTTTCCTACATAGTATATATTACGATTATATCTTGTAGGAATTATACCAAATATACAAATCTATATATACAAATCAATTCAATGTTCCATTTTTTACGATTGCATTTTATCTGTCTTTTATTGATATCTCGTATTCATCTCGTATTCATGGAGGAAATTGAAGGAGAGGATTCAAGAAACTTATAATGGCTCCCTTTTTTTTCTTTTATTCCCCATATATTCATATATTCTTCATCCTTTGAGAAGATCATTAAATACATTGAACATCGTGTCGGTTTTTCGAATTCTCCTTGCGGACCGCTTATCTACAGATGTATAGTAACTTCACTGCAGTGCTGATTATAATCTTTATTCTTGCGGATTACTTATCTCCAATGATATATAAAATTAGGGATTAAGACAAGTGACACGCTACTGTTGTTATCGATAATGCAAAATATGCTACCCGACTACTCAATTGTTATAACGTAAAAGAATATAATTGTACAGTGAACGCTTGGCTTCTCCTTGTTTCTTTGTCGCTTTTGCGAATGTATGCGTGAATATCGAGAATCGTATTCTAACATCGTCGATGTTTTTTAAGTGCGACTAGAGCGGAAGCTGGCGATTCGCGTCAAAAAGAGCGGCTAAGTCGCATCTTAAAAATTACAAATTAAGAATTTTTTTTATGAGAATCGTCAGAGAATTCTTTTCAGAATAAGATATTGTGATTTTCTTTCATATTTGAGATGGCTTAACTTTTTAGATCATTCAATTTTTTAGATATACATTTTTTTAAATATCTTAGATGTACTAATTTTTTGAATGTCTTAATTTTTTCAGGCGCCTTATTTTTTAAATGATTCTTCGCATTTTCAGTCTTCGTACAGTATAAGTTCTCTTTGATATTATTTAAATTTATCTTTCAAGCTCATGTGTATTATTCGTCATCACGATAATATAAAACTTCGACTTTGAGGTCAGAAACTGCTCTTTCTGATACGAATCGCCGCCTCGAATCCAGTCGAGATAACGCGTTTTCTTTTTATATCTTTCTTTTACTCTTCGTGATGCGTGCGATCCGGCGATTTCTAACTGCATTCGGTATATCCCGGAGATTTTTCTGCAGCAAATTCTTTTTTACTAGCCGTTTGTGAAAATTGTACACTGTCTAAAATGATAAGAACGATACTGTATTTCCCATGTATCGCAAAAATCGTATTTCAAACGTAATAAGCGTACGAAAGATTAGTTTTACAGTTGTTTCCGAAGGCAGTTGAAATTCTTCACCGGACCGGCTAGAGGCCTACCGTTACGCTCACAGAGGGATATTTCCTTTGTGCCTGATTACATGACGAAAGGGCGCACATTCACTTGATCACATATTATCACTACTGAATTTGTCGCCCTTACATCCGAACAACATCAAAAATTCAAGAAATATCGATTTTATCACTCGACACCTTTTGATTTTTAATCGATCAATTACGTTTCTTCCTCTCTAATTATAATGTCAGAAACGGATAATTTAGTTATATAAACTCTGATCTCAAAATTAATCGATGTTGCTAAAATCTTACATTTTATGAGATTTGTATAAATAATTTTAATTGATTAAAATTTCTTTTAATCCTGAGTAGTTATGCTAAGAAAAAAGATTTTCTTTGAATTAAAATCACATATATACATACATATATAATTTGTATATATCTATTTATATATCTCAATTTAACAAAAAATAAAATTATTATTTATATACAAATTAATAATTATCGTTCAGAAATAAAAATATCATAAACATGTCGATTATTTCATTTTTTTCTGTAATTTCCTTTTATGAAATCTTTAAAATTTGATACTTTCAATCAAAGTGATGAAATAAATTTTTAATTATAAAAATATATTGCTGTTCAATTTTAATTTATTTTCTTATTTTATATCTTTTTAGATACCAATTTTTTCTTTCTGTTTATTGAACAATTGATATATAATCGTGTAAGAGAAAACTGATTAAACAGCACGATTCGACAAATCTTTCGGATATTTCTTGGACATTTTTGTTGTCCGGATGTCGTTGGCTGCGTTCTCTCCGACTCGTAGAGTTTATCCTGGCTATAGGGCCGGAAGGGCAGGTTCGTTCGGAGTCGACGAGACAGAGTCGTTCCATCTCGCTCGTCCTCGAGCGAACGTACGATTATACGAGAGGGGAATGTGTTTCTCAGGGGAGGAATCTCTTAAAATTATTGCCATCTTTGTACAGTGTTAATGATGATGATGATAATAATAGGTAGTAATAGTAATAGTAGTAATAGTAGTTAATCGTTAATTAGAGACAAGAACGCAAGGATGCCTGATTTTATCGACGCGTCTGCTTTGCTCCTTCTCTCGATTTTTTTTTTCATTCAGCATTTAGAGTTTCTTCTACACGGAGAAAGAAGTTATATATCCGCTCGCTCACAAAAGCGGACGCAAGACGCTGGTTATACGTTATAGGCAGAAAAAACACCGTTGACTTAGAGTTGCCTTCAGTAAGTATTCTTGTTAATACAGTATGCTTTTTTTATTATTTTTATGCTTTCTCGCTATATATGAAATACCTACGATAAAAAGTATCCATTATTTCTCGTTCGCGCGCTCTTTCTTTCTCGCTGTCTCTTTTACTCTCCTGCGCATGCTACAATTTTTAGTTCCTGTTTTTTTTAAACATATATATATATATATATATATATTTCTCGTTCGCTCTCTTTCGCACACACATTCTCTCTCTCCCTTTCGTTCCTAATATTTTTTTTTTCAGTTTCGATAAATTAAGTTTATCAATAATCTCACTTTACCGCGCGTCATCAGAACTTTGCGCGCGCGACTCTTATTTTTTTATGTTAAAACCGTTAAAGATTCTTCTCCCGCTTCGTCGTTTGACGCCGTATCAACTCTTTGTTTTTCTCGTTCTTTTCTTTTAAAACTCTCGCGAAATTACGATTTACACTTGAAATTGGAATTGACACTCATAAGGTTATTAAAGTAGCCTCTCTCGTATTTAATAATTGCACCGACATGACATCAATCAACGGACGTTCAGATCGATCCCTCTTGATCGCACGTGTCTCTCTCTTCTTTTCTTCTCCTCCACGTGTGTCTACACATCCGCAAATGGGTCGCGTGTCCGAAGATTCTTGGATCGATCTGCAATCTTTCTATTCTATTCTACGTACAAATGCAATAAAATAGCTTATTTAATGATTAAACGATGTCTTTCCAGTTTCTTCCCTCCTCTTTCTCTCTTTCTTTCTACTCGAACACCCGCGTATATATATACTCTAGCTAATCGCGACGAATAAATATAATCGAGAACACGGAAATATTGTGTGACCGGGCTTATTATGCTCGTTATGTTTCTTATAACTCGTGTATCGACACAAGCGAGCAGCTTATGCTCTCAGGACATAGAGATTCTCAAGGAAGACGAGTCAGCTTCCGCGATTAGCTACCTAATTGTGATGCTCGCAAGAAGAATGTACGCGAAACGCGGAACGTTTCGCACATTCGCGACGTTAAAACCCAACCATGTCACCAATATCACGATCCTATAATAAGACACAACTCTGTCAATGCTGCGAGGTTCGCCTGCTCCGATTATACTCTCTTGCATCTTAACTGATGATATGACGCGACGACGAAATCGCGAGCGCGAAAAGAAAGGATTCCGAATGTTAAAACGAACGAGATCAAAAAACGATTAAAGTCACTTAGACTGAAAGATTAAAGATGAGACTGAAATGGACATCGGGACGTCCGACCTTGATCTGAAAACTGGAATGATCCCGAATGACGAAGGTGGACGTCGGGATGACATCGTTCGATCGATCAATAACAACGTGGAGACGCGAACGATGTTCCTTTATATCTTTAGGCCAGATTCGTTTAAACGTACATTCGGCTGTTGTGCACCGATAAGACTACAATGTCACTCATATAGAATCTCTCTCCCTGCTTTCATCTAATAATAAGAAATTGACGACGATAGGTGTAGGTTTATTCAATTCCTACCACGAAGAGTTCGCTATAAAGCTAAAATTACGAGATCCGAGACTGCGTCGGAGGAGATGCGTCCGCGTTGCGGATTTAGCGGGATTTATATCGGGTAGTTCCGAAAGCAGAGACTTCTCGTCACGACGATCTGTTACGGAAATGACAGATTTTTGTAAAGTAAAACGATCGCGCGCAAAATATAGGATATACCCATGATAAAAACCCATGCGGATTAAATCATAGGGAAGAAGGAAAATGTTTGCATCTTTCTCGTGTAAGACTCTACGCGATACGTTAAGTTAGGCGACTCGATGAAGCGCACGAGAAAAGTACAACGCGAAAGAGATGAAATCGTAGCTTGAAACGAGAAGGACGCGCTTTCGCGTCCGCGCGATTCTTATGCATATCTTCTTCATTTTCCCCGACTTGACTGAAAGAAAATCTTCCCTTCTTTTCTTGCGAGTAACTTTCTTTCTTGGAGCTTCTCGACACGAATGAGCGCAAAGACATCCTCTCTTCAACGAAATCCATTGATTAATCAGATAATAAATATCAGAGAGAATGATGTATCTATATCGACGACCGTCGTAACTCGTGACAGAGGGATTACGCGATTAAATCTTAGCCATCTTAGTCGTATTGTGGATTATAATTAGATAGTAGATCGTAATGCTTGCTCTCTACCTAATCTAACAATTATTATGCTTTCTGTACAATGCAAGGTGTGATCTTAATATCTTCTTAATCATCGTAATTATTATTTAATATTAATTATTACAGCGACGCACAGTTTAAATCGTGCGTTGCATAAATCGTAATCGTCCACCGATTTATATTCTCCCTTCATTTTTTCTACTACTTCCTCTTCGCTTCAAACATCAACTCATAATCTTCTCTAGAATGTATGCACCTCAACGTTCGTAATAATTGTAATATACTCAACAAAACATTAACATTAACGCTGCCAACACTCCGCCCGATACATTAATCTGTCGAGGAGTAATATAATAGGCTGCCGATATAATTGTCGTTATTAATATTATTTTTTTCTCTCCTCGATCACATGACCTCTCTCTTTCTCTCTCGCTCTCTCTATCTATCTAGCTATATTTATATATATATATATTTTTTAATATGTATATATGTATACATGTCCGTGTACATACAATATCGTTCATCGCATTGAACTCATTCTTACTCATTCCGTCCAATGAGATTATATTTTTTAATTATTTTTCCATAACACACCTATATATTATATTATTGCTGCAGCTTAATGGCTCCTTTTATTTCTCATACACATACACATACACACACACGCGCGCACACATACGCACACACACGCGCGCGCACATATATACGTACAGTCGCACTTTCTTTCACTATTTGTTGCCTTCTCCACTTGTCGTACCTTCTCTTGCTTCATCCACCTTGGGGTTAATCGTTTCGAAATGATACAGTTTTCGCATGTTCGATTTCGAGAACCCTTGTATAATTTGAGGTGAATTTTGAGAAAATTGCATAGGCAGAAAAAATATTGTAAGTTGTACCATATCTCGCAATATCACGTTTTATGCACAACGTTGATCTCGCAAAACAACGAAAGATGATCTGCGCAGGCATTTAAGGATACATGGTTTTAAGATACAAAACTGCTAAAAAAAAAAATATACAAGCGATGAAAAGTAAGATTAAAAATAATTTCTATCGGTTGCAAGTACAATTTACAAAATTAAATCAATTATATATATATATACAACTGAGTGTGGCAAAATTTTTAAAACTTGCGAAATACGAGAGGAGTTATACTTGTCGAGTATTTGAGAAACAACAGACAGGATATTACTTTTTCCGAGGGTTCGTCGAGATTACAGAAGACGCGAAACAACTGTCGTTCAAGGCGCGCGAATTGCGATTGAAGATTTATTATTGATCATCGCATCCAATAGCGCTAATGACATATTGTGCAACACGAAGATCAAAGCAAATTTATCAATTCGGTGAAGATAAAAAATAAATCGACTAGAAGTGACTCTATTTATTTATATCTCGCGTATATTATTCGTAATTAAATCTACTCTTAATATTCATGACGCGCGCTTGGACAATCGTCGTCGCTTCTCTCGGTCACATTCTGAAAGAAAGAAAACCGTCTCGCGTCATGCCCCATAAAAAGACACAATCGCTTTGTCTACACCTCGCTATATCGCGATTGATATCCCGCTAATTACAGCTAAATAGAAATACTGGAAGAATTGATTGTTTCTCTCACTGAACACCTATTGGTCGAAATACCTTCACGAATGAGCCGTCATTATTACAAACGAGAGAGTATGTAAAGCATCTTTTTTTTTATCTCTATTAAAGTACCCGTTATAAAAATCACATTACTCACACGTCGATATCTTTATCATCGTAAATAAATCGAGGGTCGGTTGCACCAGCAGTATTGGTTAACTGATATCTGATTGGCGAGTAATAAGAGAAGTGGAATGTAAGAAGGGGAATGCTTAATTAATTACATTATAGGCTCTCTAGGGCCTCTAACTGTACACTATTAAATGCATTGCTGTCTTTTACACGCGTGAAAAGAGAATTTCACGGATCGTGGTTAACCAATACTAGTGCAATCTACCCTAAGCTACGGCGATTCTCGAGCGACAAATTTGACACTTCGCGATACGCTGCTTTTTTTTGTGACGGAGAAACATCACCTAGCCGATTCCTCATGACTGTCCAGATACAGAGAGGTGTAGTGTAGAGTTGTCGAAAACGTTGCTCAAAGTAAGCGTGATATGTTTAAGCCGAGGGTTAAACCGCTGGTCGAGATATTTAATAGAAATTAGCACATGTGCTAATTCCTCATGAGTAGTATCTACTGTTTTTTTTTCCTTATTGGTGAAAACAGTTTATCCACGCTAAAGCTTTTCTATCCGAGGAAAAGAGATTACAAAAATTCGTTTGAAGCTTGAGACGGTTCCCTTTGCAAAATGTGTGCCATAGGAACCAACTAGAAATTATCGCAAATATTAATATATAAGTTAGTGCTTCTAGTCTTTTAGAAACGTATTCTCGTGATTCATTAGCGCGTGGAGATTACGACCTAATATCTGGATATCACGCGTACAAATGTTTTGGTCAGCGGTTTATCTCTCGTGTATAAGCAGATATAAGAAATCGGATCAGCGAGCGAAACGCGCCTTCAGAATGTGACTCCGAAAAGTGACATTCGTTTTCAAATTTTCAGTGTGCAAATCACAGTAAAGGAAAAGGGATTTTCCTGTGATTTCATGCGTCGTACTTTCGATAAGAGAAAGACGGATAGCACGTATCATTTGCCGTCTTCGCGTTACACAAAATAACATCATTAGGTGTCGAGCCCGGGCTGGAACGAGGCGGATACGCAAAGGATGACGTACCGCCATGTTTCCGGCGATAACGCGTTTCACGATGACGTCCTCTTGACAATCGGAAATAGGGAGGAGAAAGGGGGAAGGAGAGCGTCGATCGAAAATGTCGCTTGATCGATGATGCATGCGTATCTCCAATCGACGATTCTCCTTCTAGACACAAGCGTCTTTCATGTTTCTCAGAGCCCGTTCCATTCGCGAGGCCTCCTGTTATCTCGTTTTTGCCGCGTGAGAAGAGAACCGGCAGGGAAGGGGTGAGAAGGAAAAAGACCGATGAATACGTGAACATAAAGAGAGCTTCGTTGTGACATAGCAGGAAAGGAGAACTGGGATTGACTGCTAAAGGCGAATCTATTGGAAAAACTGTTGATCGAATTAATATAAAAACAAGGAAAACTTGTTTCTTTGTTTTCTCTCTTTCTCTCTGTCTTCTCTCTTCATACTCGTTTCGACCAAACGCAACTAACGCATTATCAGAGGAAACCTTCGAGACGAGGATGACGTAAACGTAGCGACGATGACGATGACGACGACGAGGATGATGAGGACGATGACGGCGATTATCCTTCTTCTCTTTGGTTTCCTTCAAATTGGGGAACGCACGTGACAGACTGAAGGCTCTAGCGATGATGGGTTACGAGAAGCGCGCCGATGATGGCACCTTTGACAATGACGATCTCCTCTCGTCCGAATGGCGATCAGCTTCACGTATCGGAACGATATGAATGAATGCTGATATTGCCGGCGGTTCGGAATTAGGTACACGATGCTGCTGATGTCTTTGGACTTTTCTGAACAGAAAGATCGCTCGAGTGGGTACAGTGGCACGACATGAACAATGTTTGCATAAAAATTTTATCGAATTAATTCTGAGATAATAACGTGTCTCGGAATATTGTTATTGGCAATGATGGCTAAAATTTTTACACATACTTGGAATATATTGCAATAATTCAAATTTCGAAAGGAAATATATTAAGATTTTGCATATTTTTTTATATTTATTCTAAGAAATAAATAATAGTGAAAGAATAAAATTGAATAAGAAACAACATTTAAATATGACAATATTTAAATATTTAGATATGAAAGTCATTACACGAATTATTAATTTAGGATTAATGAACAAGATGTTTTAATTCTTATTGCGAAAAATATTAAACAAAAAACATGATATAAAAATCTATTAGTGTTTTAAAAATATAATTATGAAACATATAATACAAATAATTAAAATTCTTTCTTTCTCGATCAATTTTTTAACAATTATAATTTTTAATTAATAGAATATTTTTTACATATTCTTTAATTTCTTTTGCTTTATGTATTAGCATTAATTACTATTGAATTATAGCATTAATTAGTATTCATCCTACTAACTTTATTATTCAAAATTATTCTACATTATTATAAAATTATTATTAAATCAAATAAAATAATATTTACAAAGAAATTATCGTTCGACATATTTTTGATGGAATGCTTCAAGATTCAATAGCAAATGTGTATCAAGAGAGTGTTTTCGTTCTTAATGGTATCTTATTGTGCAAACTGTGCGAAAAAAATATCGTTCACCTTTATCATGTTTACCTTTACATTATCCAGCATTATTGGAACCTAGCTACAGTAAAATATATCTAATTCTTCAATCTAATATCGTCTCTTATTCTCATGAGAAACACATACGTTATTATTTCGACACGTAGCAGTGAACCAATCAAATTATAATCATAGCTACGTTGTCGAATCGCGACGTCAATAAAGAGCGATAGTTGCTCTTATCGTCGAACATTTCTGATACGAGATAAAATGTCAAATGTCGCACGATGTTATGCGTTAGGACGTACCTAATTTTGGCGTTCACAGTCCGAAGTATCCGCCGATGGTGGTAGCGACGACAACGCCCAACACGGCGAGACAAATCATGATCATGATCTTCTTCTGCACTCGGCGTTAACAGGTAAAAGTTTAATATAATCGATTACAAGGGTTTCTCTCTCGACGCTTTCCCTTAAATCTATCTATGCATATCATTCTCTCTCACTCTCGCTCTTTCTTTCTCTCGCTATCTCTTTTTCAAACTCAATACCTCGCTCGTGTGCTCGATACCTCTGTCCATTACTATTATTATTATGCTACACATTACAATTGTTCGCTTATCGATCTATCGTAGAACACCTGAAAGAAATTGCATCTTGCTCGTGACCGGCGTGGATGACGCATGTTGCGATAGCCTGTAAAAAATTATGAGCGTGTGATTTATGCGACAGAAATTGCGTCTGAATAGCGAGAAACTGTCTTCCACCATCAATTTTAAATTTGAATTACATCAACAGTCGCAATCATGTAATATAATTCTGATTAAACAAATAATTGTCATATTCGTAACCTTCATAATTTTATCTTTAGAATGCAGGACGATATATCTTATTATCTACAGATTCTTTAATTCTTAAATAAATTCTTCTTTAATAATCTCCAAGAGATTTTACGAATTTTTTTACGAATTAAATTGAAAAATTTTAATGAATATTATTTTTTATTAAACTACAAACGGACTCTGAAAGAAATATTAATTTATTGTGAAAAAAACAACGCACAAATTGAATCTTCGTTAGGGAAAAATTGCCCCAATTTTTATTTCCAACATAGTTGAAAAATTCAGAGATGATGAAGAAGCATGGAAAGAAATAAAATCAATTAATGTTAGATATACTAGATGTTAGCGCAATCGTTTTCAGAAGAAAATCCAAGTATTTCGTGACATATAATTAATCTCGTGCATCTTTTATATTTGTAATGGAAAACGAAATAAAAGATGAATGTTGAAAATGATTAAAGAGATTCGCATGAATTGGAAAAAAAGATACAGACCTTTGTTAACTCTCGCCATTAGCGCATCCGCTTCCCTCGGAGCTGCCTTCTCCTCCTCAGTGCAATTTCAGCGGTGCATTCTCAATTAGGTTCACATTCCTATCCTCTCTCTCTTTTTCCGCAGCGGGCGTAGTATTCCGTCAAATCGATTTACGTTTGGTGAATCTACCGTGAATCGAATCTTGCGAACGATCGAACGCTCGTCTGTCGTTCTTGTTCTCCGCTTGTACAGAATCGCGAAAATCCTATCACCATCTCTTCCATTATCCTCGCGACTCTATCATCATTTCGTAAGCCGAGCTCGCAAATTCGAACGATCAGCGCTAATCATTGTTGCACGCTTTGTTCCACTCGCGCATTTTTCATTATTTACAGAAGACAATTATTATTTCTCCATTTTTTCCCTTCTTTACGAGGCGGCAAGTATAGCGAAGACGACAGAGAAAAAAAAGGCGGCTGGTCGCGAACGATATCGCCGTCTCCTATCTAAGATTTTTTACTCCTCCTTTTTTTACGCTGAATACACCCGAAGGGAGAAGAAAATTCCTACTACGCTATCGGCATTAACGATTAATATTGTTACTCTTTCTTTCTTCCTCATTATTATTATTCTTATTATTACTATTATTATCTGATCTATACAAATTGCAATTATTTATATGTACAATGCGCGCGCCGCATCTGTGTTGTGCGGTCTGCATTGCGACGACGGTGATTACTCGAGTTCGGGCGATCGATATTTGTTCATCGGAGCGTGTGTACCACGTGAGATATACGTCGTCGTCGTCGTCGTCGTCGTCGCGCGGATTAGCGTTTCGATAGAGAGAACGGAACTCCCCCTCTTTCTCTCTCTCTCTCTCTCTTTCTTTTGTCAGAGAGGACTAGAGTACTCGGCACGAGGGATGGTGACGACCGTCTCTGTCGCATTTCGCGCAGAAACGATCTATCAATTTCTGTGGGACGACAAATCCGGAAGCGAGCTCTGTTACGTCGCCGATTCAGTGAGATGGAATCAAGGCGGTGATAACAAATAGCGATTTTCATCAAGAGCAAGGATTGATAACGCGAAATCGAGATGACGATCGAGACGCGCGCAAGCTTTAAGCTGTATTCTTTCAGTCAAATGATGTCAATGTCGAGTGATTTCGACGTTAAATCTAAAATTTAGAAAGGAATTTAATAGACAAATTTAATAGACAAATGATACATTATTGTTTTTAACTCTCCTTTTATTGTAATAAATTTTTTAATGGTAATATTATAATCATATGTAGATAGCAATCTTCTTGAAAATTCACACGATTGTCGTCATAATTTTTTATTTTAAAGAAAAATTGAAAAATAGAATTTTAGATAAAATTAATCACGCAAACATATAAACATATAAAAGTCGAATTACATCTTGAGTATATTGCTGATAATTTTCTCACCAACGATAATGGTCGAGATCAATTCTCAATATTTTATAATTGTAAAAAGGAAGATGAAGTAATTTGCTATCGCCGCATTTCGAGTAATTGAGAATCTTTCCGTTAAATCGGCGGCGAACTTTGCCCAAAGGCCTACTTTTGGAAAAGGACGCGCGTCCCCGATTTCATATATCGTGCATGATTCCCGATCGCGCGGCTGTTGTCTTTATTGTGCACTCGTGTCAGAACTTTACCTAAGAACGATGAAGTGGCAAAAATAATATGGAAAAAAATAACAAAAGGCAGTGCGATAGAGGTGCGCTCTGAATACAAAGGAAAGTTATCGACGATAGCATTATCGATCAAATCACCCAGGAAAGAAAACACCGATCCCCTCGACAATCTCCTTGTCTCTCTCTCGGTGTTTTTTTTACTCCGTGTTTCTAAGACTTAACGCAAGTTACGTTGCGCGATAATATTTTAAAAAGAGAGTGCCTAATGTACCTTTCCCTTGCGAGCATTTCGAAAATGTTAGAAACTATCGCTTTTTACCTTTGCATCGGTTAGTTTTCGGCAAAGAAAAAATATACTGCCCTCTTTAAAAAAAAAATTTGTGCGATATATTATATCGTGTACTTTCCGATGTATCGAGGCGATTTTCGAATTTGTAGAAATTTAGTTCCTCCTCATCGTTCCTGGCTTCTATTAATGTTACGATATCTGTGAAACGTTTTCCGGAAATTTGCGACATCCGTAAAATGGATTCTAATTACTCGTCTTACTCGGTATATGATCGATAATCTGTTTAGCATCGACATGCGTGATCGTAATCGACGATATATTACAAGTGACAATAAATAAACATACAAACGCACGAATTTTATTATTTTAGAATCGATAATAAATAAACGTAACGAGATGTATGTCTCGCGAAATCCATCGAAACCCGCGAAATGTATCGTTATTTATCCACGAAAAGCGGGTTCGATGCTATTTCCGTTATTACGATCCTGTCTCGTCGTTCCCTTTAAGAGAGGAAGGGACCAGGCAAGAGCGAGAGACGATAAATATTCCCGTCTCGAATGTATCTGTCCGAAATATTTGTTCTTTATCTTTCTTTTCTTTCTACTTAAACTTAATCTGCGAATGTGTTAATTTCTGTTTTCTCGTCATTGTCTCGTGCACTTAAATTAACTTAAACTAGCTGCCAAAATGATAACCAGAATGATGACCGCTATCGTCACGCAGATCAATATCAGGAACAATTTCTGCAAAATAAAATAATTCCATGATCGTTTGGAAAAAAAAACAAAAAGAAACGAAATGGTTCTGCTTGATGGTTCTGATTGAATTGAAATTGCGACAGTTTCGAATGAAGATGGAGAATAATAGTTCCGACACTTCGAGCGTATATAATTAGAGAAACTTAATTAAAGTGTCTACAAACATATTTACTATTACGCTTGAATTATGCTAAACCAATCCTTTTCAAATTAAATGAAGGACTAAATGTATCAACATTTTCGTCGAACAACATCTGCTTCAGATTATTCCTAGAATCTATAAATAAAATCAAACGTAGTGAGTCTGAAAGACCGTCATAATTGTGATAATTATAATATTATATAACATAATTGAAATAATATATCACGTATGAAAGAAAAATATGAAAGATATTAAATTACAGCGAAATGATGTCATACATCTCAAAGTGTCGAATCAAAAAGCAGTCCTTTATTAAAAATGATAAATGCGTGTCGGATCGACATAAAATGACAAATGATTTCGGACGATATATGACTGGCCTCGAATTTCCTCCAGGAACCGGGGTGTTTCCGTCTTACTTAATTTTCTGAGATTAATCGCAAACACGGGTTATCGATAGCAAGTAAATTCGACAAGGCGAGAATCGAAAGCGCGATTATCGGCGAGAATCGAGATGGTGCGATCGACGAGATATTTCAAGACACCCCTAAAATGGCTGGAGGAAATGTCGAGCGGTGTAATGAAGTGTACTTACTGTTAACGGAACGAGCGGATGCGATAAATGCGAGTTAATACGTTAATTAGTCGTTCGTTACGGAGATTAGTCGGAGGATCATCAGCGTAAGATTTACGGAGAGACGCGCGTGTATATGTATATATATATGTGTGTGTGTGTGTGTGTGTGTGTGTGTGTGTGTGTGTGTTATTAGGATCGGCGCCCGGGACACCCGTTTCATTACATTTGTATGCGTCACTTCTCTTTTTATATTTTTCTCAACTTGAATACACGTGCGACTTTAACGTTCAGAGCTCTCACACAGGCGACCGCCACCAGTAATTATTCCACATCTCCACCTGATCACACTGCACATTCAATCCCATGCGTTTCTCCCGGGCTGATTGCGACTAAGTTTCTGCATTTCATTATTGTTACATATCGTTATTATTATTATTATTATTATTATTATTATGTCATTATACTATTATTAATATTATTATTATTATTATTATGACATATTTGCTACCGCGTTGAACTCTTTTCCCCTTTCTTTCTCTACCTTCTTCCTCGAAATTTTTAAACGCCCTGCGTTCGCCCCCCTCCCCCCCGTCCCTTACTTCTCCCTAAAAACACCCCCCCTTGGCCGTTTAGGTTCTCGGAAGGCACCCTACTATTATGGCGACTAGTATGACCGCCGCTATTAGGACGCAGATTATGATGAAGATCATTTTCTGTGGACAGAAAAGCAGAGAGGGCTACGTGTAAGGTACGCGTATGCGCGCTTCGTTTCAACGAAGAATCGAAGGAATAAAAGAGAGAGAGAAAAAAAGAGTGTATTGCGAAGTAATGTTGTGCGACGTGCTTCGTGAGAAAATTGTCAGAGAAGGTGACAAAGGTACACGTATTTACGAGAAAAATCTTACGGGAAAAGTAAAAAAAAAGAGAAAAAGAGAACGAGAAACACTATTTTCAACGATAAAAAGTAGCATAAGAGAAGAAACTATACGCGAGTGCGGTGAATCGGAAATGAAAAACCTCAAAGCTCGCGGGAAAAAAAGGAAGCGTAGGTGAGAAACAAATATTAACATATTTTCTCATGCTGACTTCTCGTACTGCCGCGTTATAAGTGATGCATTTTTAATCGACGAATCGCGTTCAAAAAGGAAGAAAGCAAACATTCTATCTCAACTTTTCTCGATATGCCCGCAATTTTTTTCGTGAAATATAGCAAACGTGCTCATACCTTCCGTTGATTATTCGACAAATATTAACTTGTAAATAAAAGATTAAAATGTTGAACGAAAAAAAATTGCAATTACAAAGAATAAATAAAGAATAAGAGATCAGAGACAAATGGCACTCGATAATAATTTAATCAAGATATAAAATCAAAAATTTTTGCGCGAGCAAATTCGATGAGAAAAAAATTCGCAAAAATTTGATTAATACTTAAAGACAAAATGAAACGAATTTGATCAGAATCTGTATAAAATATCAAATATCTATGCAATCATTTTCTCAGAAATATTCAAAAAGAGGCAAAATATTCTTCAATATTTATAAATAAAAAGGAAAATTATAGAAAGGAAATTTATAGAATTAAAATAAATAAATAAATTTGAATGAATTTTTTTACATCGAATTACTCGCGAGATGCAGAAAACAGAGTCGCGTTAAAAACAATCGTTACTTCTGCAAGTATTATGAACGACCACTTTTTTGGGGAGAGGAGGTGAATTGCTGTTAAACACAATCAAGCACATTCCTCATACCTCTAATAATGCGGGTGCGTTCACAAACTGATTAATCACAAACACCAAACCGCTTTGTTCTAAAAAAGTTCCACAAAAACTCGTTGGTCCGCTACCTTTGTACTTCATTACATCGTATTCTGTGCAATCTAAGAAACACAGCGCATTCTTCTAACGCTGCACTATGAGTCTACACTACTTTCGACATCGACTACGCCTCATCTCTTTTACCACAATCCCACGATGGACATCGATCGCGAGATACATCGTTTATGCTTGTATCACACGCGACTAGACAATAACATGATTAGCACCAGTGCGATTGTACATTGTACTAGATTACACAAGATTACAGGTCAATCACAAGAAACAAGGATCGGATCCCACTCGATTCGAGGTGCCTGATCGCAGGTAGTACCAGAGACGAAGGGAGGAGCAAGAAGGAATTTTAGCAATTCGATTTATCTTAAGGCGAGCATTCAAAATTTAATATATTCCGAGCAAATTACGTTAATAATTTTAAAAATTATTTAAAATTTGCTATCCAATTGTTCTTTGCAAATTACAATTTAAGATTAAAAAAAAAAAAAACTTTTTTAGAAACTTTCGTTCCTTAGATGTGCAAACATCTATATTTTCTTGAACATGGACATTCCAGGAGATCTAGTGAGCTTTTCTATTTTTAACACTTATTCTTCGGGAAAGTGAGTTCCAATTGAAACGTATCCAAGCGAAAATGTTAGCTCGGAAGAGAGGCACAATGGCGAGAGAGAGGTCAAAAGTCTACGCGAAGACCACGCAGTGCGGAGAAAACGATAACAATGCGAGAGGAAGAATGTCACCCCCGAGATAATGTTTGAAAGTTTGCTGTCGCGCTTGATAAAACTTGAAATGAATTTCTCTTTCTCTTTCTCTCTCTCTCTCTCTTTCTCTTTCTCTCCGTTAAATAGGCACTTATTCCTTCTTGCTCCTGCCTGGCTTTAGTCATTCGGCGATGTCGTTTTTTTGATGAACGCCGCCATCAGAGAAGCGGTTCCTTATCGCGAGAACCGTACTTTAGAGACGTAAAATCCTCCGAATCAACTCGCGCAGGAAGAAACTCATTCTTCTCGGGGGAATGGATTCTGAAGAAATTGTCTCGATGCAACGTCAAATTCGCGATGCTAGCGAATAGAAAAAAATTTAATTTCTAAGTCAATAAATTTCTCTCTGAACGCGAATTAGCAGCGTTCATGTCGGCCGAGTCGATCCGAAATTCGTGAAAATCTGCTCTCTCTCTCTCTCTTTACATGTCTTCGTTTCTCGCGATCATCCGATTAAGCGCTATCACGAAGAGCAGATTTTCGTCCCGAGTTTCGGCACGAGCTCGGCCGCCTGTGTGTCTGATGTGTCTGATGTTCTTTACCTTACGAGCTTTTCTTTGATACTTTTCGGCATTGCTCAGGTTGGTCTCAGCCTTGCTCACGTAGTTGCCGGTCTGATTCACGCAGTACTCAATGCAGTCCACCATTTCGCCCTACCGTACCGACACGGGAAACGGGAAAAGGGGATTGGGGAACGAAGATTGAAAGGGATGATCTCGAGGTGGGACCAGATCACCCGGGGGAACAACAACCTCGGGAACGGATGCACCCAGGGTTACACATTTATGTACATATAATGGGCAAGTAGAGAGATAAGAAGCAGCGTCCCCCGCGGCAAGAGAATACCGGACCCCCGGCGTCGTGTTTTCACATTGATACACAATCATAAACGATTCGGATTAGTATCAACAGCATAGAGATTAATACGCAAGGTTAGTAGTATAAGTAGTATAAGTAGTAGTAGTAAACAGAACAGTTGATGGACAGAGGCACACAATTAGCACACCCATGTTTCGGCAGAGGACAGAGAGCGAATATATGTATAAATAGAGAGAGAACGCACATATAAACAGTACGTGTATAACAGTATATAATATATAGTGTATACAGTGTACGTATATAATATAATATATGTAAAGATATATACATTTATATATATATATATATATATATATATCATTGTTTGTTGACCGCGAAATACGAATACCAATGACATACAAATAAACAGAAAGAGCCCACAAAGCATCGTCGTAAAAATTAATTATTTACGCGTCGTAAAAAAGGAGGGGAAAGGCGAATGTAGTTGCGAGAAGGGATGTACACCGATTAATACCAGATTGTAGCAAGATACGTATCAACAGAAGCGTAATTAATTAAATGTAGCAAATAAATAGAGCGGGCTTGGGGTAAAGAAAGGGCGGCGATGGGGACATGATGAGAGATCAAAATGGAATTTAAGGGACGACGGATCGAGCGGGGAGGGTACGAGAAGAGGGGGGGGGGAAGAAAAAAAAAAGAGTGACCAATTAGACGCGAACGAAATGCCAAAAGGTTTCGGCGCGTGATATCTGGGGAGGACTCACCCGTCGGGCTTTGCTTTGATACTTGAGTGCTTTTTTGGTGTCCTGCGTGGCCGTCTGCACGTAGTCCACCGCATGTTCCACGTGGTACTCTATGCGATCTATCATCTCGCCCTAATTGTTGATAGGAGGCGCGGCGCGAATCCACACAGCGTAACAGAAAGAGCATAAGAGAGAGAGACTGTTAGTTTTCAGGAGTAAAAGGCAAGGCCAGTGATTAAACTGTTCGCTGCTTTTTTTTATTGTCATGCATCAGCTCTCACACCGGCATCGATAAATAAACGAGGCAAGCAATTACCTTCGGAGTCGAAACTATCAACAACGTTGATACCAAGTGTACACATTTAAAAAAAATTACAATATCTTCTGCGATCATTATAAATTTCATAAGTAATAATAATCGAAAATTCGATCATAATTCGATGATTTTAATTGATGATTTTAATTTAAATAATAAACAGCAAGTTTAATTGATAATTGTAAATTATAGAGTTAAATATTACGATAATTGCTATGCCTCATTGTATGAAAAAAGATCGTTGGACTCAGATACCATAATGTAATGAGATTAATAAAATATTATTATTGTTAATATTATTATTAAAACTATTATCATCGTGCAAAGGAAAGAAAGCGATGGACTAAAATCTCAAGTTTCTCGTGAAGAAATAAAAATACTTAAAAACAGTTTTCATAATGGAGAAAAAAATACATGTCTATCAATTAATATTGTAATAATTATAAATAGATATAAATATATATAATTATATTTTTCAAGAACGGAGTTTTTGAGATTTTAGTATTAGATTAGAGTACGTTAGAAAAATCTCCCTTTGATTAAGATAGTAAACCCGCCAAATTATGCGGTTCACCAAGAAATTATGCTGAAGAAAAGAGAAATGTTACACTGCGTCGCGCTACGCTCCTAATTGCTTATCGATCATCACTGCATAAAAATAATCGCGGGCAATTTGATACGAAAAAATAATTTAATCGAAAGAGAGAGACGTACTCTCTAAATTATCATGTCCATGTTAAACTAGCAACGTGAATAATTTAAACGTGACCGATTACATCAGCCAATCGCAAGGAACGATGCCGCTCAAGCATCTCGCAATAAAGCATCTCAAATCGATACTTTGGGTACAGGAATAAATTAAAATGTGTATTTGACAGAGCAATCGGAATAAACTTTTTCAGTCATTTTCTACTTTTATGATTTAAAATTAAATTTGAAAGCGTACTTTTTTCTCTAAATTGTAGATTAAAGTATAAATGAAGTTACATTTATTAAGCTTGAAATTAATGAAAACTGCAAATAAAATGTAACACCATTAAAAATTATATTTGCAAGCAGTATTTTGAGCAGATTTATTTTATTATAAGAAATAAACGTGAAATGTTATTGATTTAATTCACTTGTTTAAAAATTTCAGAAAATTAAATATTTCATTATTAATTTCCTTTTCAAATACACACATTAATTAATTCGATCTACGATTAGCTACAAACATTATAGTTATCAATTTATTTGTGAACTACCAGAAACATTATATTCATATTTGTTATATATATAACCCGTTTGTAGCCTAATGCGAATTAATCCGATTCTACCATTGATGCGCGTTTAATTACCGTTATAATATTCTCGTAATATATTGAAAATAAATAATAGAAATACTGTTATGTAAATTTTTATATCAAGCTAATAAAATGAACGCTATAAAACACGCTAAAAGAATAGAACTCTTGTAATCCGGAAAAGGGAGGCTGATGTAATTATTGTTTATTTAAATGGGCAAACGGCCGGAACAAATTTGCATAAAGCTGTTCGACCTTACCTGACTCTCCACCAACATAGCCATGTCCATGAACATGTCGTGTAACTCCCTGATGGAGTTTTCGAGTTTAATGATGTCAGCGTGACGCGCCTCGATGTCCGCAAGAGTCTGTTTTGCTTGTTGCGTTTCCATGATGATCTGCGACAAGCGATAAGATTAATCGGACGGGCAGGGGATAGGGAGAAGGCGATGGACAGTTATTAAGCTACTTGGAGCTCCTCGACAGAAGTTACAAGTGCACGCGAGAGAAAGATCGTTTTAAGAATGTACCCCTTGCGTGAAGACGGCTGGATTTCCTTGCTCCAACATCTCCTCGAGCTCCTCGTTGGTGGTCGTTCTCCCCGCTGGAAACAGAAAGATTTCTTCGTTTCTTCGCAAACAGACGCAATCAATCGCTAATGCAGATGCAATCAATTTGCTATCGAGCTACATGCCGCGCGCGACATTATCATTTATTCATCGAGTAAAGTACGTACGATTGCTCCGATCGTAAATATCGACACTATTGTAGAAACATTGATCTATCTCCACGTCGCAATTGTTATTATTTGCAATGTAAACCCATTATCACGATTATGGTGCTTACATTATAACGTTACAAAGCAAAGGAAATCATAAATATAAATCATAAATATGATAAAGTAGTAAATCTCTATACTACACAGAAAATAAATAAGTGTCAAATCAAAACTTATATACTTAAACTAACGCGTTCATTGTTTCGTATATACGCAACAATTTATAATCTTCTTAGAAGAATTTAATAATTTTAAATTTCAATAATATTATAGTCTTATTTTAATATTGTAAATGTCATCTCAATATATAATTATTTAATTCTTTTTGAAGAAAATTATAATCTCTGATTTAAAAATGTTCTTTTCTATCTAACATTGTTTCTTTTCCATTCAAGAAAATTAAATCTTAAATCATAAGACTATATTTTTCTCGATTGAACTATATAAAATGGCTTCATTCAAGTAAGCAATTATTCAATCAATTATATTTTTCTTTAATTAACGCAATATAATCTCATTTCAAGATTTCCATGTTAAAACTAAATATACTTTCAAAACAAGAATGTCCTTTTTTTCTGTGCACGAGTATTTGCAACATAATATTATCATAAAAGTAAGCAACAATTTAGCAAGATTATATAAAAGAAAATTTTTCAATCATAGATACTGAGAGACGTTTCAGATATTTTTTTCAATCTCATCGTCATGATTATTAAAATTCACGAGCAACAAAACAATTGGCAGTAATGCATTGTTTCAATTCTTCTCAAATAGAAAGGAATACGAACATTAGGTTGATGAGCATGTATTTCGAGAGGATGGGATAGATTCGGATGTGACGATATATTGGAAAGGGCTGTTCTGCTCGAACAAGCATTCTGAATGCGGCCAATCGTGATATATATATACACACACACACAGACATATACTCACTGATCTCGAGCTGTCGTTGTATTCTCCCCTTACACCGTTCCCTGTAATCGGTCTGTGTCCGATTGTACTCCGTCATCACCTCGACGAACTTCCTGGACAACGTCGAGTGTTGGGTCTTGCGTATCCTCAGATCCGCCGACGATTTGTTCGTGTGCTCTTCCTGCTCGATGTTCTGCTCTATCACTAAACGCAGAAAACAACGTTCGATTGTCGCAATAGACACGTAATAGATACGTTCGATTTAAAGCGTCATATCATACGAATTGATAACTTACCCTTTAATTTAGCTCTCACTTTGTTAGCAGTTTTCTTGATGTCGGACATTAGGTCCTCGAGCTCCAGTTTCACCTCTGAAATCGAGAAAAGTTATTGAAAAGTTATTTACGTGTCACAGATCTCGGAGAGTTCGGAGACACAGTTATTTCTTCATGTGCAAGAAGAGATAAAAAAAAGTTTTATTTAGAATATCGCCAACTATAAATCATACACAAATATCATTTCAAAAAGTTATAAATATCGATATGTAAAATGTCACGTTGCGCGTATCTTTTTTTACGCAATAAATCAATTTCAAAATAGCCTTTCCTGACAAAGTAAAATATAACTTTATAAATACGCATATAAATATATGCGTACAATTTGAGATACAAAATAAGTGTATAAAAATATTAATAATTAAATAAAATATTAATAAAAATATTAAAAATAAATTTACTATTCTTGATCATTGGAAACTAACGCTCACGTACGTGATCAATAACATGCTCCATTATCTCTTACAAAATCCACAAGTTCGCGAAATCACGTTCGCGACATTGTTCCAGTCGATGCTTCAATTCTGCAGCAAGAAGAGCGTACATTCGCGAAGATATACGAGCACATTGTGCAGCATTATATTGATCGCGGAATAGTTCGTGCATAGCTTCCGTATTCACTACTACGCGAGCAAACTTCCGAATTTGTGGAAAGCGATGTCGGTCGCCTCTATCTGCTCTTCGCAGCAAATTTACGATCTTTCTTCTTGTACGATTCTTATTTCGTCCTTCGTACATTCGTGCTTTTTCCCTTTATCCCGTTTTTTTCTACATAATTTTTTCGCTGTAATGTCCGTAGTTACGCTCCAAGTTACTTTGACCGGCGCTATAAGTGTCGTTGTATAATAATTTACAACTCATCTCGCGCTTGATTAGATTTCACATTCGAGATTAGCGATTTACGGTAAGAGGAACGATAAAATGTCGCTATAATCGTAAAGTATTTGTAATAGACCGTATAAATGATGTCGTGAAAGTTTTAATTATCGACATGAATGAATGTGTTTACTATATACGATAATTAATAACTTTTTGTACATTATTATACGAAGGAAAATCATTAAATATATTACAAATGGTTGGATGGTATCAACAATCAGTGCCACAATTAGAAATTGATTTATTTCATTTATGTAGCTGTCTCCATTTGTGATTTAATTAATGACTGTCTTTCGAGTACACGTATAAAACAAAATTTGTAACTATTTATAATATATTAACGATTTATCGAAATTTTTAAGTTTAAAAAAAATGATGTTGCGTATTTTCAAAAAAATAGTTTCCAAAGAAAAAAATTGTAATGATGTAAAATATCAATTTTATATAAATATGTATCTAAAATGTATGTATTATAAATATAATTAGAAATAAAATAAATAAATGGAAATATATTTGTTATTATTAATCATTAAAAATTTATTATATTTTATTATCCATGTCAATGAAATATATATTATTCTTTTAATATTTGATTCACTGATTTTTTCAGATATACAAGTCACCTCGCTTGTAGCAATAAATTAGTCAGTTGATTCCGATACGGATCCCCCGATATCTAATTACGGATAAGCGTGGAAGAGAGGTCACGATCTCATAATATCAAGTTCCAATATTCTGCGAAGACATCCCACGCATATACACACTCGTTAAATGTGTCCCACGCGATTCATACCATCTACCTACATCCCACGTGAACCTAAGCCGCTGTTTCCGATAGACGATCCCTCCTCCCTCTCTCAACAGAGAGATATTGTGATCAGATTTTCATATTTTCCATGTACGAGATGTATATTACGCCTCTAGAAGAAAATATACCGAAGAAGAAGAGAGAAAGAAGATGACAGAGAATTTGTTCTCTCGTTTTTTTGAACAATTTCTTCGTGTCGAACTTATGTCATCGAAATTGTTTCGGCGCGAGTGATTAGATTTCAATTGATTCTATACCTCAACGGTATGGAATCAATTAAAATCTTTTTCGGTGAAAACGAATATCATGATATTCGAGTACAATGTACGCCCGTTTTTCGCTACTATTTCGATCGCGAATGTTTTTTAAGCAAAGATCTCTCACGTACCGAAACGTGAGGTTTGCATTATATCTACCCACATGCCATACTACACATCTCTCGAGTGTGTCTAAGCCACCGAGTCTGCCAAGAAGACACCCTAGAGCGCCTCAAATCCAGTTGCTATGAGATTCAGCGTCTGCCGCCGGAATGATTACATCTTCCTTCCTCTTGGGAGCTCGAAAACGCTGAGTAATAAGACGGTTTCTCCAAAATCTACGTTCGTTTTCATATGAACGGTATCGTAAATATCGCAACACATATCACTGCTTTTAGTAAATATTTTTATGCAACATATTGAAAAAAAACAATCATTGAAATGGAAATGTCTCGCAGATTTTTTGTAAATTCAGCTTTTTTATTAAAGTCTAAATTTTTTATAAAACGCCAGACTATGAAGATTTGACGCCGCAAAAAAAAAGGATCAAAGCTTTTTTTGTAAAAAAAAAAACTGACGTTATAAAAAAACTTAAGAGAAATATATCATGTTTCAAAAATACGTAAAATATTGTATTAGATTAAAAATAGTTGCTTTCGTCAAAATAAAATTAATACTGACGATTTTCTCAAAAGTTATATTTCTGAATATTACAAATAAAAAGAAAATGTATTTCCTAGGTTTGAATATTACAAATAAAAAGAAAATGTATTTCCTAGGTTTAATAAAACCATCTAAATCTATTATTTTGAAGATTCTTTTAAAAATTGATTAAAATCTAACAAGTTAAAACTTATACCCAGATCGCCTCAAGTCACTGTTACCTCGCATACAACCACGTTAAATATTCTTGGAGGAAGTTTCAGCGAAATTTCTCGGCGTTGCTTAAAATGTAAATTCGCCCGGGATATATTCTTCGCGCTTCTATCGGCCGCATCTTTCGTGTCTAGATTCACGGACACTATCACGCAGCGGCTATCCATTGTTAAAGAGCGACGTAGACAGAATAAAAATGAAGGGTATGAAAAATTCGCTCTCACGCGCGCTTTCCCGGTCACGATCAGACACTTAGTCGCGGCGCGATTTAACGGCCGTTATCAGACGCGTGCGAAGGGCATCTTTACTGTATCGAAGGCGGCGTAGAAGGCAGGAACGAAATAGGAGTATGTTTAGTTTGATCGATGATGTATGAAGAGAACAAGAGGGATAGTTTGGTTCGCCGCTGCTCATGATTGCTTCCGGTCTGCGTGTTTTGCGAGGAATTGGCGTTTCGCTTTAACTGCGCGTTTATTTTGTCTGATTTGAGATATATTACTTCCGAAGCTATATATTGTTCATTCACAATGCTAATTTGTAATTGTAATTCGAATCAAAATGTAATAATTGCGATAATTAACTAAAGATTTAATAAATTATATTAATAGAACTGAGTAAATAAAAGTTTAACAATTTTCTTAATGATTAATGCAAGATATTTTTTATGTATTTTTATTTTATTTATTTATTTATTTATCGAGAATGAATTTGGTACAAAAGATATAGAACGTAGAATAACAGAAGAATAGATTATTAAGATATTTATAACCCGATTAAGCTGAATAATCCATTAAGATCCACTTACAAGATATAATAGATGGATATAATTATGTTCTAGATAGATTCATAGACTCACAGACTCATCAAAATAAAAAGTTAATTTACGTAGGAAGTTGATTCATCAATTAGCATGATGTGATTTGATTGATATGGAATAACACAAGCATATTCCAGTTGCGATCTGATAAATAAGTAATATAATAATTTCAATGTATTAACATTTTTTAACATGTATTAACATTTTTGAAATATTTACACGAGCGAAATATAAAATTATGTTTTACAGACACAATTAGAGATCAATTGTGTATGCCTGTATAATATTTATTTGCGTTATAAAAATTAAATTCGCTTTTCGCACGTTTCTATAAAAATTTAATCAATCGCTTCGATCAAACGATAAAAAAATAATTACGAACGGAAAGAAACTTCTCGGAGGGAAACGTGCAGAATCTGATTTCGCGCTAATAATCACGCCAGATGATTGAAGATTAAGATTGAAGATTAAGATAAAAGAGACCTTTTTTTTCTTGCCGCGCCCGCACATGCGGAAGAAAGCAACGATCAGGGTCGTTTACACGGGAATTGGCACGAAGCTCGACTACGGAGAACTAGCAAGTTTAACCGCATCCGAATGCAACGACCTGGAACTCATAAACTCGCCCTTGTGGTTGGAGCAACGTTCTAACAGCGGGTTTACAACAGGTAAAGACTCCGACTGTAATAAAGGCCGGCTGGATTTCTGACCGGGCTTTGCTGGATTCAGTACCGAAATTTATTTTCGCTTTATTTCGGTGCCCGGTCATCGGCCAAAAAGCTAGGAAGCTAACTTTAAATACGAATAAAAAGATAAATATCAATTGCACTAAATATTATATGCGAGTAGTGATAAGCGTGATAACACGATATTGTTTGATATTATCTGACATATAAATTTCCTCTTTTTAATAATTTTATTGTATCATGAAATATTCATTTAATATAATATTAAATATTTTATATTACACTAGATTAATTAAATATAAAGTAGTTAGTAATTTTAATGTTTTAGCATTTAAATAATATAATAATTTACATCATAAAATATTTTAGTATAATTAAATAAATATTATATGATAAATAAGTAAATATTATAGAATATATCACATAATAGGGGCAAAAATAATTCTGACAGTAGTAAAATCCGGAATTAGTCGGACAAAGGACGCATAATATTCGAAATAAAAAAAAAAATAATTTTTGTAATAACTTAACGCTCAGAAAAATCTACTTAATTAAATTTGTTTTTGTAAAATGCAGTCTTTTATATCCCGATATCAAATAATCGATATATTTTAAAAATTCTTTCTTATCCGCAGAATACAATTTATTTTAATTTCCTTTCCAGCAAAAGACCATTCAGAAAGAACTTTTCTTTCTTTTCGCAGTATCGAATT